TTCCCCTACCATCCATCAGGACGTAATGCAATCTGCTCCTTAGAGTCCTGGGCCTCAGCGGAGTCAGAAGAAGAATGGAGAAAGAGAAGTGAGATGGACAGAGGAGGAGAAGTAAGCAACACAGGGTCAGTGAGGACCAAAGAATGCAGCAGGGGTGATTTCAAAACAACTTGCTGATCGTAGACATATGAACTGTTGCTTTAAAAGTCATCCAGTTTAGTCTATTATTGGGAACAATGCCAACAGCCATCAGTAGAAGAAATATGAGATAAATTATGGGGCATTCTGTTATGAAATACGCAGCAATTCTATCATGTTTCCAAAAGATAGTTAGGCTGGAAATTTCTTCTGACAAGTTAAAAAAAGCAAAATGCAACATTCACAACCACAATACTGTAGAGAATGTATGAACCCAAAACTGATGATGAAATAATTAAAACAAAAACAAAAGGTACGTATGCCTAAAAACCAGCTTGAAAGGTTCTAACCCAACAATGTGTAATTTTGCAGTACTGCTTTTATTTTCTCCTGCACATTTTCACATCATAGTTTTTCTTAAGTGATCAGGTGTTATTTTGATCATGTCAACAAATGGAATTTATGAAATATATCATGAGCTTTTGATGGAATTTGATCTAGATTTCCTTTTATCCATTTTCTATTACAATGTTTCACAGTGTTGAAAAGAGCAAAGCTCAGATTTATTCCTGGAGAGGGCCCCAAGTGATATTTATTTACTATACCTCTTGTCTCATGCAAGTCTGAGGTTATTGTACCTATTCTATAAAAAGGCAACAAATAGAGTGAGGAGACACTTCCCAAGGTCATACATGGAATAAGTACCTGAAGGGGAGAGTAGAGCTCAGATTTTCTTTTTTTATTTTTGCAGTGCTGGTGAATGAACTCAGGGCCTTGCACATGCTAGGCAAATTCTCTCCCAATGAGCTATATTCCCATTCTCTCTGATTTTCTTAATAGGAAAATAACATTATGTTATGTCAGCACTCCCAACTTACTCAGCAAAAATTTATGTTCTCCCTGAGCTAATGCAAGGTCTTAAAGAAGACAGTGGAAGTCTCAACATTTCATTAAAATCTGCTGTTCATTGTATTATAGAGAACACTAGAACCAACACTTTTGGATTCTTGGAAGCCGCCTATGGTTTCATTTCTCCTTGGTCCCTTCAGTTTCCTGGTCCATGAGGGCAGGTTGGTGCAGTGTGACTAGGACCCTGCCTGGTCTGGCCCAGAGGTTGGGTTAGAACACTGGCCATAGGGATCCAGGCTGGATCATCCGCTTGCTCTCCCCTCTCGTCCCGCAGTCTCATTCATCTCACCAGATAGCGCTGCCCAAAGTTACTTACTCAGATAGGCCCCCTACCAGACGTCCCCCCATTCTCTCCCACCTCTCTGCTTCACTGTGCTCCAGACAACTTCACACCCATGGCGTGCTCTGTATTCTTTTGGTTGTATGTTTGTCTTCACTAAGCAGAATGCACACTGCCCAGGGACAAGGGATATTGATACACTGGGAATGTATCTCTGATACATCCCCAATACCCAATGGGTATCTATTAAAGGGAAGGAAGGAGTAAAATGTGATCCCCTCCCTCTGCAGGTGCCATCTCTGCCCACCTGGCAGCCCTGTCTTTTTAGAGCTACTGTTGAGCCTTCCCAGGTGGCCACATGTATCTCTGCTGCATTTCTCTAAGACTGTGATTGTCTGGAGTCATTCAGTGCTGGGAATCCATGATTCCCAGCATACAGGAGCAGCACCAGCCGTGAGCAAATGCAGGTGCCTAAAAACCACGCTGGCGGGCAGCCGGTGTCAGCGGGGAGCCCTGAGTTTTCCCAGAGAAGGCTGCATTCCTTCCACAGCAGCCCTGGTGAAATCAAGTCTTAATCAGATGCTCAAAGCACTCACTTATGACAGTTTATGAAAACTCAGGGTTTAAAGTTTTGCTCCTAATAGGCTTTTTGTTCTGGTCCAATTTTCCCAAAATTCTGATGCTCATGGTTGAAAGAGCCAAGACTCAGACCAGTTTATTATATATAAACTCTCCCTCCCTCTGTCTCTCTCTCTCTCTCTCTGTCTCACTCTCTGTCTTATTTCCTTTCTTTTATTAACACGTGTTTGCAGCACATAATGATTATGTTTATCATGCGAAGTTGTTACAAATTTCAGCTTATCAACACTAATTGTAATAAGGTGAAAGATTTATAGGATCTGAAGAGAAACCAGAGTATACTAATTGTAATGTAAATATCTGAGGTCCTTCCTGTGGGGAACATCTCATGCAGTTTTACATTGCCCTACGGGGCACTGTTCTCAGTCATAATATTTAGGAGCAGCAGTTGCCATGTGTGTTCCTGGGTCTTTCCTGGCTGCTCTTCAGATATATCCTTTGCTATTTGCAATGGCTCGCTGTTTCTATGTCAGAGCAGAGGTACAGAGAGCAAGGAGAGTTTGCCGTTAGAGCCCTGAGTGGGGTCATACCTTGACCTGTTTTGCAGCAGGGCAGTTTCCAAGTCAAAAACTTAGCACTTTTGTAATATGATGAAACATTCTTGGGATGTACTAATCTATGGTCTTTCTCCCCCTTCATTGTGCCCCCTGTCAACTCCAGAAGCAACAGCACTAGGAAAAAAGTCATCTTAGGAACTGGGAGCCTTGGAACTGGTCAAGGGTAGAGAACAGCAAAAATTTGGAAGAAACCTAACCTGGTCCTTTGAAGTGTCAAGGGGCAGAAGTGAAATGGGAGGTTGATGCTGATGGGTCTCTGATGCCCATAGGATCACAGAACACTAATATTTTGGAAATGGAATGAACTGAAATAGGAGACTTAGGCCCCTTCCACTATCTGAGACCTTCAGAGATACCCATTGCTTTACAGCATGAGGGTAGGAGTAGAAGGACACAGGGCCAGGAGAGTCCCTGGAGAGGGTCATGCCCTGGGATGGCCTACAGAAGTCAGAGGGAGAGGGAGCACGTGTACAACAGGGGAGCTGAAGTGGGAGGTGGGACGGGCAGGACCAGGGATGCTGAACTGAAGAAAGAGGTGAGGATCCTACAACTTGAGACCACCCAGTGACACAAGTGCCAGTGTGTGCTGGACATGTAGTTCGTGGATGGAAGCATGAACAGGAGCCCATGCCCAGGAACCAGGGGCTCCCCACTGACCCAGGGCTCCCACAATATGCTTTATCCTTAAAGTCATTTAGAAGGAAGGAAGGGAAACCTTGGGTTTATCCAGTAAACCTGAAATTGTTTTAGATTTATTTTTATTTAATTCTATAGACTTCCTGCAGGAAGAATGAGATCTCCATTCTCATTTGTAGGAAAATGAAACATAGAGATTCACTTTTGATCTGTCAAATGCCGGCACAGTTATCTTTGTCTACATAACGTGGCTTCCACTCTGCCCTTTTTCTATGATCTAAAAACACGAGAGGCTGTCAGAAAACCTTAAAACCTCTGTTACAAGAATATTTATTAAGAAATGCCAATTTTTTTTTGCTGTGTAAAGTGTAAATTTTAATATACCTAATTTTATCCTCCCAACAGCCCTCTAAATGAAGCAGAGCAGGGCAGATTATCTCACTGTTTGGAGAGAACCAAACTCCGTGAAGCCAAGATGATCGTCCCAAATCACAACCCAGGGGTATCTCGTCCTCAAACTCAATGTGTTGTACAATTTTGGAAACGATGGTCATGTCTGTGTTTGTGTGGGGAGAATGCCGGTCATGTCTATCACCTGATGCAGTTTGCAAACAACAAAAAATTTTGCCAAATTGTTTGCAAACAAAAGCATTCATGAACTGAAGCACCACTGTATAGAGAACAAGACCCAGGCCTCCACACCCAAGTCCTCTCTTCTCTGTTCTCCTCATGACCCTATTACTGCCATCATGACTACATGTGGACCTGGATATTTTTTGGTTTTCCATCCACCACTGAGGCCCAGAAGCCATTTCCGCTGGACGTGATGATATCACTCAACTGGCAGAGTGGCCTTGAAAAGTAAGGTTAGAGTATTCAGGTAAGAAAAATGCTCTCTTAAAACTCCTTCTCACAACTCAGAACCTGAGGATCTACAAAACATTCTTACCCTTTTTCCATCTACAGGAATATGGAGTTAGCTATATGTTCCAGAAAGTATGTTCTCTCTTCAATGTCCTGCATACAAGGCCCAGAGCAAAGAATTCCCAGAGGACATGGGATAATTTGCTACTACAAGTCATCAATCAAAAGAGAAAGCACCTGTTAGGGAAGCAATAACTTGAACATCATCTATTTGTACATACTGCACAGTTCAATACAACACATTTAAGTAGAAGGCATCATGTTAAGTATGTTATAAGTAAGTGACATTATAAGTTAGACTATAAAAAAATCTAAAGAAAAGTCCTGCCCTCAAAAAGTTTGAAAGCTAAGGGTGGAAAACACTAAAACTAAAAATGGTAGTGATGACAATCCAGGCAGAATATACTGAGTGTGGGTAGAAGGATCAAGTGGGTGCTGTAGGAATTAGAGAATGGGACACATGTGTCCCTGGGAAGTAAGGAGAAAACTTCAAGGAAAGAGAAGCAGCAGAAAAAGAGGCAGGCGTTACGCACTGAAAGATGAGCAGAATTGCAACAGCTTCTTCACTGGGAGCAGCCACGTACTAAAGGAGATGGTGCCATTGGTGGGATCTAGAGCTTCTGGTGGCTACCTTGCCCCAAGGGAGTGGAGGATTCCACCTACTAACCAGGTATCAGTGCACTGTTACCTTTTCTTCTCCCTGATTTATACTTCCATGAGATGCCTCTAACAGGCAGAATCACTCTTTCCTGCATAGCAAACATACTCAAAATGCCAAAACAAGAGATTTGTCCCCTGATTTGAGCACCTGCCAATCCAAGCCTGAGAACAGCGTCAGGTTGCCCAGGCACACCCCACCGCGGAAGCCAGGAGCATATAAAGCTCAAACTTCAGGCTGGCCAGCAGCTGGAAGCCCTCCCACCATGGGCTGCCACACCCCCCTCCTCTGGCTGCTGTTCTTGCAGGCTTTTGTTCTACCTGCCGCAGGTATGGCAACTAATGCCCCAGGGCTATTTTGCTCTGCTCTTGTCAGAAGCTGGGAAGTCCTGGAAAAGGGAGCTTTTATTCTGTTTAATGTAATCCAATCACTGAGGCGAGTTTGCTGTGATGATTGTGTATGCATCATGATCAATTTTGGGGAGGCTGGGTCAAATATTTTCTGCAAGATTTGTTTTCTGTGAACAAAGCACTAATCAATTGATTGCTCTTGTAAAATATGGCTCTGTTTGTAGGAGTCTAGAGAGAAATGGATAAAGAAGGAATGTGGGATAATCCAATAAGATGTTTTAAAATGTTCAAATGTTTAAAATGGTTTATGTATTCATATTTTGATATTTAGTAGAAAGGGTATCAAATTACAGTCATGGTTTCTTTGCCATTCCTAAGTGAAGTAGGAAAATATGCAGTAAAAATATATTTTATCTTGAAATACTGGACCATATAGAATATTATCTGAACTTAATTTATGAAGCCTTCTAATCTGAAAATCTGAACCTTTCTATAGTAGCCACATTAATCAAATTTATATTCTTGATTTTAATGTGTATTCCACCTCTAATCCTCTTAAGGAAATTATAAGTTAACTTGGAATCAAATTAACTTAAAACATTTATCTAATTTTCATTATCTTTAATTGTTATTTTGTAGCTTTGGGGGAAAATAGAAAGTCCTCTATTACACAGATTTTTGACTTGTAGTGACAAAATCAAAAATTAGGAAATACTATGGATCAACAAATAGCTTGAATATAATTCTTACTAACTATAAAAAAATACGTAACTCACTGGCCATACAAGAGGGTAAAATTCATACTGACTCTTTTTATCCTGCCAGTAATTGTATGGATGTGTTTATGTGTAATATTCAAATATACTTATCAAGACATACTAGCGTTTTAAGAAGGGTTTCAGGGATTTCTCAAATTCTTTGATTCTAGGCCTTTTTTCTCATCTCTATGTCCTAAGAAGTTTAAACCTGGGAATGTAAAACTTAGGGCCACAAAGGAGGGGCTTGTTTCAGTCCTAACTGGGTGCTTTCTGAATCCTGCCTTAAACCTCTTTACGTAAGAAGAGATTCCTTGTGAATCTCCATGCTGAACCCTTTCATGTAAGAAGAGTATAAGGCATTGAATGAAGGGGATTTCCTGAAATCTTATTGGTAAAGCACTTTTAAGAGTGCTTCAGACATAGAAAATACTCAGTTAGTACTAGTTGCTTGTAGATGCTATAAATTACAAAATACATGTCTTAAACTGAAAGAAAAATAGAAATTCTCCAATTCAGAATATATTACCCTGATGTCTCCATTCCCCTAAGAAACCAAAATATTTTCCCTTTCAATATTTCAGTAGAAACTTTTAAGCAGTAGATTCAGCTTAAAAATACATCAGGGAAGGAAGTTTTTTCTCTCAGTATATCCATACTACTCAAGTATGCACCCCGGGAATTTGTGAAATAAATGCCATGTGTGCCAGGAAAGTGATGAGACTTTCTGACACATATTATCTCTTGGGAATTTCTGAGAGAATTCAGAATTCAAGTTCATCATGTTTGTTCTACTGTGGCAAAGTTGGTGCCGAGTTTTATGATGCTCAGAGCAGTACATTGTGGGCATTGGAGATGTTATAGGAATGGTTATGAGCAGCATCTGACCAGGTCCAGAAGGAATCTCAGTGAGCTCTGCCTTCCACCCACAGTTTGGTCTGATGCTACTCTTAGGAAGTGGACGTGGCCTGTGACTTGATCTGTCTGGGATCAAGTGTGCAAAGATTTAGGACAAGAGTTAGGCATTGGAGAGATCATCCCAAGTCTAGCATGAGTTTAGTGATTTGGGGGAGCTGTAAAAAAGCTGCCCTCAAATCCAGCAATTCTCTTAAGCCTACACTTTGACATGCACATGCTAATGTACTGGGAGGGCAGAGTCAGTCCCTAGGTCCCACTGCACCTCTTATCTCACTGAAACACCAAATTCCAGTGAAAAAACCGGCTCCAGTGGTAGCAGTTACCAAGTGGAATACGGCACTCTGAGAATCCAGTTACGATATTAAACTTGGCTCTTCCTGGCCTTATTTGCTTTCCTGGGAATTTGCCAGCTTTCTGCCAAATGCCGTTGTCCTCAGCACAGTTCCCTGTGCAAAAGAGGGTGCTATGTAAACAGCTGGGGTAAATGAATGGAAAAACAGTGAGCAAGAATATCACAGCCATGACTTATCTCTGCTCATGAGACCCTTCCAAAATGAAAATAACAGGATCATGAGGCTGTTTCCTGTGAGCTGCTGCAAATGTAAGGCTCTTTAGGAGGCTCAGCAGATCTTGCAGACGCCATTTACAAGTCTCAGGTAATCAATGGGAACATTCTCTCCCTGGCTTCTGGATGTATCTTTGCCTCCCTTTGCAAACCTTTTGTCTATGCTTTCACCACATCTCTTCCCCAAAATGTGTACAACACCCTACAGGTAGTGGGTGAGGGTGTCCTCAAGCTTCCAGGAAGCCAGGATTAGTGACATGATATGACTTAGTAAGCTTTATCAGGCCACTCAGGCCAATTGCACAAGAACCTTTAGACAATGGGGCCAGTGTGGCCTGCCAAGAACAATCCCCAGGGGCAGCCTGCAGGTCCTTAGGGGCCACTTGAAACTGGAAGAGATTTAGGGAACCTGCGGAGTATGAGAGCTCAGTTGCTATCAGGACAGTTTACAGGAAGAGTGAGGACAAAGAGCAACTTGCTGACAGAGGGCTGGAGAAAGGGCTGTTTTGGAGAATGTGATGCTCTCCGCAGCAGCACTTACCTCATCAGCACAATCCAAGCAATGTTGTTAAATACTCTCTACAAACCCCATTCCGATCAAGCGATGATCCGCTCATCCCCAACCGACACACTGCCTGCCTCTGCTTCCCTGGACCACCACCCGCAGGCCCTGCTGCCACTCGGGTGAGATGAGATTGCAGGTGTGCACAGCTGCCTTGCCATCTCATATACCTGGGGGCAAGTGCTGCCCAGCTCTGCTGACAGCACCAGGGGCCACTGAGTACACACACATTCACACACACAGACACACACTCACACTCATGCTCCTCTGTTCACACACTCACACTCATGCATTTATTCACATAACTCCATGCATACTCTCATTATACACATTCAGTCTCTCTCTCTCTCAAACACACGCACACACATACACCACACACACCACACAAGATCAACATGTTTCATCCACCCTTTTCTCATCCCCAAAGAAGCCCTGCAGACCCTATCCCCTGCCCTCACCGCCACCCTCCTTTCTAAGCCATCAGGCAGCTCCTAGCCTAGTCTTAAATCTTCCCTCATCATATGCATACAAATAGTGCTCTCCAAATGCTCCAAGCAAAATAGACAAGGTATACCTCCAGTTTCCGAGGCTCCTCTGGCTTTCTGTAGAGGAGGGGCTGGGGCAGCGTAGGAGAAAGAGGAGCCTCCTGCTGTGTGTACGCTGTGTCCTCCTCAAGATTGGAAAATAATGATATTCTGTATCAGACACCCACGACTGTGATAGCTCAGTGATAGAGCACACACTTAGCATGTGTGTGGCCCTGGGCTCAATCCCCAGCACAACACTAAACAAGCAAACAAAGAACAAACACTAAGAGTCAGGTTTAATCATCCCTGCTGCAACCCCTCTGGAAGTCCCCTTTCCTCACGGCCGGCCTCTGCCCAGGAGTCACAGTGCCACATTCCCACTCCTCACTTTCTAACCCTGTGCACTCTACTTCACCCCATCGTCTTTCTGAACATGTTCCTTTTGAGGGAGAATGTCCACCGGCCTTTCATTCACAATCCAGTGGCCTCAGTCTGCGCAGCTGTCCCTGCGCCCAGGCCCTAGCTCCTCCTTAGCCCTGTGGCACAGCCTTCTGCATTTCCTCCTGGGTCTCCGGCCAAGCCTTGGCTGGCCCATCATCTTCCTTTTCACTCAGAATCTGGCCCTCTAGTCTATGCATCTTTTCAAGGATCTAATCTGCTTCCAGACCAGCAATGGTTAAAACCCTATGATCCTTTAGCTACGTGTATAGTAAGAGGATATGAAGCCACATTTCAGAGGTGGACTCTGTGCAGCTTTTGTGGAGCTACTGAGCATGGAGGACCCTGTGAGGGCCACAGGAAGTTAGCTGAGCACCTGCTTAAGAGCCTTACTATAGCATCCTTACTGTAGCATCTACTGCAGTACAGAGCAGTGTTATGCCTGCCTATGCCTTAATGTACCTCCTTAAGCTGTCCTGCCCGGGCAGTGGACAGACCTATAATGCCAGCTTTCATGAGGCTGAGACCAAAGAGTTGACAAATTCAAGGTCACTATAGATTATACAGCAAGAGTTTGTCTCTGAAAACAAACAAACAAACAAACAAAAAATTCATATGACCCTCCAGATCAAGGTCTCCACCCTTTATGATTCTCTGGCCTACAGGGTCACCTTTCCTGTCCTGTAACTGGGCTTTGGATGCTTGTGCTGATGCCTTCCACCCTGCATCTTCCTTTACTTCCTATTAGTTGGCCAGACCCATTACTGATACCTCCAAAATGTCTCTCACACCCTTCCTCAGTCTTCTCCCATTGCTACCACCTGGCTCAGGCTCTCTTCTTTCTTTTCCTCTCCCACCTCTAGGCTCCCACCTTGGAATCCATCCTGCTCGTCCAGTAGGGTGGATCATCCTAATGCTCTGCTATCCAAAAACACGATGATCTTACTCCTTCCTTCAGAAACTTCCAACAACTTCCTGTTATCTACAAAATTAAGTCCAAGACCTGGCCTGCCATTGGAAGTCCTTCAAAATCTGTCCCAACCTACCTCCTGGTTTTATCTCAATATTATAGTTCATTTTCCTATGGATTATTCACCCATTCCATAGCCTTAGGAAATACATTTGAAGAAAATGACTCCTGTTTGACAGGGCTGTTTTTGCTTGTCGGGGCTGTTTTTGCTTGTCTTCTATTTGAGACAGGATGTTGCTGTGTTGCCCAGCCTGGCTTTGAAATACCAAGACCAAGCAATCCTGTCTCAGTCTCGGAGTAGGTAGGCCACAGATGTGTGCCACCGTGCCTGGCGTTATGACTTTGAAATCTTACAGGGTGGTCCTGTTCTCCTCCTTCTACCTCACCACCCACACAAACACCCTTCCTGGGACCCCATGTATGGCAATGAGCAAAAGGTAAATGAAGTCTGTTTTATGGGGATGAACAATCACATTTTTGCAGTTGTCTTGATCCGCAACGTCCATCTCCTGAACTCTTGCGGGGGCAGCTCCTCCTTTGGCCACTAACTCATGGACTGTCTCAGGCAGCCACTGATGTCTGTGATGGCGGCACTTCTGAGGCCTAGGTGTTGGACTTTCCTATGTGCAGCAAGTTTAGCAAAGAGGTCTTTGCACTTCACTTAAAATAATTTATACTGTGATATCTTGAGCAGGTTTCCCACTTGAACCTGAAATCACTGCAGAAGAGCAAGCGTGGAATGAATTTTGCCATCCAAAGGTGCCTGCAAGTGTGATTCAGGGCAATCGGCAAAGCAGGTGCTCAGCTAAGTTACTGTGGCCCTCACAGGGTCCTCCACGCTCAGTAGCTCCACAAAGACTGCACAGAGTCCACCTCTGAAATGTGGCTTTAATATCCTCTTCTTTGTTTCCACTGCCTATGCCTTAATTTACCTCCTTGAGGTGTTCTGCCCAGGCAATTCCAACCACCTCACGGCAGCCTCTTCTGTGTCTAGTCTATCCCTGCTCAGTCCATCCTCCAACTTCCATGAGCATTGCCCTTATAAAACACAGCCTGGCCCTTCATGGCTGTCTTTGTTCAGTGAGGACTCTGTGCAGACACATATGGCCTTCATGCTCTGGCCCCGCTGACCACTCACTGTCACTATGCTGTGGACTGCCCCCTGGTCTCCTACCTGCAACGCACTCTCACCTCATTGCACATCATTTCTGGAACGTGGCTGTGGCTTCGAGCTCCAGTACTTCTGCTAGGAGCAGGTTCTGGCAGCAATCCATCCTTCCTATTAGCCAGGCATTGTCTTTTCTTACACTTAAGACTCAGCATAGGGGCCATCTGTTGTGGAAAGCCTTTCTCCTTCCTGTTCCTTCTACACATCCTTACAATAGCATCTACTGCAGTACAGAGCAGTGTTAGCTACAAACTCTAGGCTGGGAATGCCTGACAACAGGAAGGGTATCTTACTCATCGATCTTACATTTACACATGCTAGCAATAATAATGTCCAGTAAATATTCTTTGGATTGAATTGCCTCCTTAGACTGTAAAACAAGAGTCCCAAGAAAGAAATATATGGTACTGGGATAGGGACAAAAGAAGCAGCCCACCAATAGAGACAATCCATGAACAGCTATATAGGATAACCCTGGTCATTTTGGTTGCATTGAGTTGCTCTTTATGTTCACTGGAGGTTAAAATAAACATTTAGAAAGAATTCACAGAAACGTGCACATGTGTGAATGTGGCGGGCTTATCTGGACTCTGGGGAGAGTTTCCAAGTCAGGGCCATCACTGCCCTTCCATAGCTCATTCACCCACTGCTGTCACTCTGGGGCAAGTCCTCCTCCACATCCTTCAGAACTGCTAAACTCTCTTTTCTCCACATGCACAAATGATTCATGCTCTTGCCTAATGGCATACCTATTTACTTTGTCCAGTCATTACCTGAGTTTCCACCTTTCTCCCCAATGTTAGAAAATACTTCTGCAGTGTATCATTTGATGGGCACAAAAGCCCTGTCTGCTTGGTGCCTTAGTCACCTTCCCAAGGAAGACACTCACAGGGAACCTCTCTCCTATAGTATATAGGAAGCAGCTAGATCTGCCATATTAACCCCAATCCTTTTGGTTCTCTTGAGAAGCCAACAGTAACCACATTAAAAAGAATGTTAGGTTTGAAATGAAAAGACTCAGTCCAGGCACAGGATGGGCTACATAACTGGTAGGTCCCAGTTATGTAACTTTTTTTCAAGAGTTATGAAGAATTTCAGGACAGCAACAATGTGGCATTGAAGAAAGGGCAGGGCCCTTCTGATCTCAGGTCCTCTAGGATTGAAGTGAGCTCATCCTCAAGAGTATTTTTCAACTCCTTTCCCTGTATTCCCCTCTGTTTCCCCTAATATGGCTTTTTGCATGTCATTCAGTCCTTTTCTAACTAAATAGAATCATCAAAACAATAATCATAGTGCCTTTCATAGTGATGCTAAGATCATTATTGTTAATTCCGATCATCAGCCTATCATTCCATAGCCTGAAAAGCAGATTACCAATGATGCTCTGCCTGATCCCTCTGCTTTTTAAGAAAATCAATCTTCTAGAGATAGAGCAGCTGTGTCACTGATAAACTGATCTTGGATAGGGACCGAAAGTATAGAATCAAGAGAAAGAGGAGGAAGAATGACCCCTTCTTGCTCTTCAGCCATTGACTCTGGTTAAGTCAAAGTCCTTTCTCTCTCACTCTCCTGCTTGCACCTCCAAGTTCAACACTCCAGGAAGTGGGATCTGAGGCATCATCGAGTAACCAAGACCTAAAGCACTCAACAAGTATTTATTGTGGGAGATTTTTGAGATCTAGTAGTGAGCAGAAATATCTCTGTCCTGTGGGATTGACCCAAAGCCTCCTCCATATGCCAGCTTTCATAAGAATGCAGCATTCCCATCTGGGTGATTGCAGGGATATGAACCCACCCAATGTAAGAAGCACTGTCTTGGGAGCAGTTTTAGGGGATGTAAAAGAGCTCTGGTCCAAGAAACACCCATTTCCAAGGCCTCTCACCATTTTGCAGGGGAAAGGCAGTCCCAGCTCTCTCACCTCCTGGGCCCCTAGATTCTGCCTTAGGGTTGAATGTGCCAAACAATTCCCAAAGCCCTTCCTGTGAGGCCTTAGCCTGGGCAGGACAGGGAGGTGCTTTGTCTCATCTGGGCGCTCTAGACAGACTGGTGGGGCAGAAGGAGGACTTTGCTGCTCTCTTAGGCAGCATGACCTTGGGCCAAGCATCCTGGGAAGAAGAGAAGAGTGGAGAAGAGTCCATTGAACAAGCTATTTTAAAAATAAATCTTACCTCAGGGAATTTAAAAGCACTTCTGAAGTACGGTTTTGTGTAATCGTTCTCAACTGGAAGTGATTTTCCTCCCCAGAAAACATTCAGCCATGTGTGGAGATATTTTTGATAGTCACAGCAGAGGGTAAGGGAGCTGATAGTATCTATGGGTGGAGGCCAGGGATGCAAACATCCTGTAATATGCCAGACAGCTCCCTACCACCAAGAATGTTACTACTGCTTAGGTTAAGAAACCCAGCTTGGAGGCATGCAGCTTCAACCCCCTTAGCCACATAGTGACTTAGTGAGATCCTGTCTCAAAATAGAAAATTATAGAAAGGGCCAGGGATGGCTTAGTGCCACACTCAACAATAAAAAGGAAGTTTTTAGAATCAAGCATGTACAGTTGCATATGTTTGTCTTAATAATTACTTATTAATTAATAATTGATTTGCTTTAATTATGAAAACAAATTTTCTGTAGCTCCTTCCCCAAGTCCTTGCCTAGGTCCATTTTCCCCCAATACTTTCCTCTGACTATCCGCTGATTAAACTTTATTAAATTTACCCTGTCATTTTGAAAGGGATAACCGAATTTCTTGTAAATCTGCTATTTTGACATATTTACAGAATTGTCATTGGAATCATAGCATGCCATGTACTGTAAGGCTAGGTATACCAAATCTCTAAATGATTTTGCCTATGAGACAGCCTCGAAATATGAATTCCATATAGTCACATACCACTTGCCATTTTCTAAATCATCTTCTATTCATCTCACTCCATGACAGCTCAGGTGGGCCTGTTTTATGATCTCTGCTTTGCAAATAAGTGAACAGATCTAGGGACAAGGTTAAAGCTAAGTGCTTTGAGCAAAGCCACATGGAAAATATTTAAGCCTGTTGACTCCATATCTAGTATTCTACTTCACTATCAATATGCCTACACCCTAGAAAAATTGCCCTGAGCTTCAGCAAAATTCACAAATATTCAGAGTTGTCTTCAGTGCTCTGCTACTAGCCTCATCTTTCTACCTAACTGAACTCCCTTTCCAACACACCCACACACCCTGCGCCCTGGCAAGCTCCCCAGATGCAGAAAATCCTCGTGCAAAGATGCTCTGATTTGCCTAAACTGGAGCCTACAGAAACACCTTCCCACATATCCAAAACTCACACTTCCCTCACTGCATTTCCTTAACTCCTCTCCTTCTCTTGAGGCTGGCAGAAATTCAATGAGTGCTAATTGCTGAAATGAGTAATTGACTCTGTAAGAGGGGAATGTCAATGAACTAGTCAGCTGTAGTATCTCTAAAATAAATGCCCCACAGATCATAAGCCCTAACCAGAGACTCCCTTTGAAATCCTATTATCTTTAAAAGTAACTGAAAGTTTTCCTTTCAACTTACAATAAAACCATATTTGTGTTATTATGAAGACAATGTCTGAAATACCCAACATCGGGTAGCATTCACCTCCTAGGAAGATTCAACCTATTTAGCATGTGGGTGTCTCTTGCCCCAAACTCAGGTGAGGAACTCAGAAAACCAACCCCAGTTGAAGGTCCTTAACTATTCCTGAGCATGAAGGTTAGATTGATGCGTGTGTGTGTTTCAACAAATACTTAACATGGTCCAAAAAACTTTCCTTCCAAGAGGGCAAAGTCCAGCCATTTGGAAATAACCCTATATAAGACTAATACCAGGCTGAAGTTTCTCAGTGGGATCATGGCAGTGTGGCAACAGCAAACCCCTTAGCAAGTGCAGGACATTAAAGAATTTTTATCATCTTTAATAGGCTCAAGTTATAGTCCATTTTCTTTTTCTTTCTCATAGAATATGAACATGAAACTTTGGGAGATTTTGGTAAGAGTCACTTTTTAGTACTCCATTAACAGAACACCCCAAAATGCTCTCAGTAAACTGACCGTGGTTACCAGTATAACCCAGGGGGTGGGGAGGGGCAGAAGACAAACAATCTAATCAAAAGATTCAGAAAGGACAGAAATGCAAAAGGAAGTGACCCTACCTTTAGCTATGATGGAAATATTTTCTCCCCAAACTTTTGTTCTTTTGGTCAAAATGCATTTTAGAAAACCAGATGAGGATATGAATATGGTGTAATAAATTATCGCTAAGGGATGTAATTGCACTCAGATTGGACTAAGGAAAATCCTAACTTCAGACACCTAAATAATGCATTGAGATTGGAAAGGCAGTAAGTGTAGTCCCAGGACATTATGTCCCTCTATCCTCATTCAGAAAATTTAGAGACTTTGGAAAAAAACATGTCCCTCTTTATTAACCTGAGCCCTCCAAAGTCCTCCTTCCTCGAAATCGATCCCCCTGTGAGTGCCACAGGAGTGAGCACTTCTCTAAGCACTTGGCCCTTGCCTGTCCGGTAGAAGGAATATTTGCACAAATGTATAAAAAAGCAATCTGTACTAAATGACTAAGCACCTGAACACCTAATCAATTCTTCAATTTCTGCTATGCAGAACCTACTGAGTATGTATCCCCAAAGCATGCTGTTATTTCAATATCCCTTCCAATATATGCATGCTGATGTTTGTCTAGTAAACTTGGGTGGACAATTTTGCAAGGCAATGATACATTACTTATTTCTCTTTGTTCTTAGATGCTAAAATCTTAACAGCATTTCCTGGTGGTGAGTCAAAGTTTTTTTTAACTCCTTATGTGATGTGGTTTGGTGGGTTATGTGCTTCTGGCTGGTGGTAGATGTCCAACCATGCAGACACTACCAAGGAGGATGATTTTGCCCAAGGCTCCCTATGCATTCACCTCACTCATGAAGCTCTGTGGGGTTTGTTTTGTCTTGATTAACGCACTGAGTAAGGGTCATTCCTCTTCCCACTCCTCTTTGTCCACTTAACTCATTCTTACTGTTCTCCAAGCTTTGCACATTGTCATCACTTAAGAAAACTTCAACCGTCATGCCTCATTATGCATTCTCAAAACATTATGAGCACCTCCCTTTCTTCCTGGCACTTGATGTAGTTACAAATCTCCATTTAATTTTAGATGAACCTGACTATCTCCTCCAGACACTCAATCTAGACTCTAATCTCTATGACATCTGTTAACCACAAGGATCACAGTGCTATCTACTGTGACCCAGCGTATGCACAATAAATGGTGGAGGCATGATTAAACATGGATTGATGCAGAATATGTTTCTTCTCCTAACATGCAATATTTTGTATTTTCAGAAGACTGGCCACAGTTGCAACTCATAAATGGGTCAGGCAGATGCTCTGGGAGAGTGGAGGTTTTCTACGGTGGACAGTGGGGCAGAGTTTGTGATGACCACTGGGACATGCATGAAGCCGATGTGGTGTGCCGGCAGCTGAGCTGTGGGCGTGCTCTCGCAGCCCCCACTGAGGCACAATTTGGTGAAGGCAAAGGCCAGTTTCTGCTGGATGATGTGGACTGTACCGGGACAGAGAGTTTTCTGGGACAGTGTCCCCATGCTGGCTGGCGAGTGCATAACTGTGGTGCTGGAGAAGACGCCAGTGTCATCTGTGAAGGTAACAGCCACTTTTCCCTCTGATAGCACACATCTCCTTACCCAGGTTGCATCTCTACGATGCCACTGGCAATACTCGCACAGATGTAATCATAAGCCATGCCTGCCCTTGTGTGGGTCAAAAGTAAAGAGATGTCAGTAATTTCAGAACTCTGACCTGAACTCAGAAAATTACTATGATACCAAAATGGATTTTATGCAGGGAAAGCCAGCAGAAGATATCAGTGGTTCTATTATGAGGACTAGATTTGAAAATACCTGCTGAAAAGAAAATGCACATCAAGAGTGAGATGAATCACTCACTGGGTGTGCTCTACCTTTTTTTCAGAACACTGTGTTCAAAAAGAGATAAAGATTTTAACCACTAAAACTTTGCAAGTCTAGTAAAGGTGATGAAAGGAAGAGTTTATAAATTAGAATACCTCCAGCTTGTCCTGTTTGTTGTGAGTTCAGTCTATGTATTACAAATCATAAATCATTGAAGAAATAGTAATTATCAATACCAGCCCAGTGCAGATGCTCCTGGTCTTAGCATTCTACGTATTAGGGGCCAGGTGGGCACTGTTCTGTGTAGTGTAAGCTATTTTGCAGCACCCCTGACCTTTACCCACCAAATGACCATAATACCCCACTACAGTTGTGACACTCAAAAATGTCTTCCGGTATTGCCAATTGTCCCTTTGAGGGGCAAATTACCCCAACTGAGAACCATGGTCAAACATATGACATATTATTAATAGTAAGGACATAAATATGTGTGCCAATCAGGGAAACTCCTTTAGTGTACTTTAAGCAGTTACTTAATCACTAGCCAAAATGTCCAGCTGCTCTCAACCTGAAAGACTGTATCTACATAATATGAATATAATGAGTTAGCTTCTAAGGTCAAGTCAAACTGTTTCTTTATTGGTGTGTTCATGTGTATGTACTGGTTTGATTTTCATTTAGTTTCTGCCTTTCTTATTCTTGATTTTTTTTAAATTATGTAGGTTAGGATTTACAATTCCACCTGAACAATCTATTCTATACAACCCTGGGGTCCACGTGTGCTGTGGTTGAAATGTGTTTGCATACCGTTTGGGCATGTTACAGCGGTCATACTGCAGTGTGTCAGTCACTTTTCTCCTTACTAGGACACAATGCCCAACACACACAACTTAAAGGAGGAGAGGTTTACTTTGGTTCTCAGTTTCAGAGGTTTTAGTCTGTGGTTGGCGGGCTCAAAGACAGAAACTGTGCTATGGAAGAACCTGCTCATGTCATGACAGCTAGAAAGTAGAGAGCCCAGGGAAAAGCAAGGGAGGGAGACAGAGCCTTACAGGTCACACGCCTGAGTGACCCACTTCTGATCATATCCCTTCTCCTAACAGCACATTCAGTTACCGAATGAATACGCTGCTGAATATGGTGCTCCCACAACCCGATCATCTTCCAAAAGCACTGCCTAGGAGTGCATGAGGCTTTGGCGAAATATTCTTCATTCAGACTATAACCACAACCATCAACTACAATTGATCTAGCATGTGTCATGAGACACAGTGTGTTAACCATTTATGCATTTGGTGATTCATCAAAGTCATCTGAACTAAGAGAGTCAACATTTTTATTTCAGGGAGTCATTTCTTTCATTCTAAAATCCATTTTTAATTAACCATCTCCATAAATAACTACCCTTTTCTGAAATAGAACTTTTGTTTTTCCTACTTATTAACAGAAACTGAGTATTTAAAGCCCACCTCGGGTAATTTCATGCTTTTGTTTTCTCTATACAACATTTTCTGTGCCAGCATCTGTCTGGGCAGGGTGTGAGAAAATAGTAAACCAGTACCTGGTGAGAGGGATCAAATTCCAGATCATAATTGTCATTATTTTCTAATAAACTTTACAGGTACACTTTTGACATACACAATGATCACATTCATCATAGGGGATTTGTACCTGTACGTAATATTACTTGGTTCTTTTTTTCCCCATTCCCCTCTCCTCCCTTCAACCCTTGTTGCCCTCCTTATTTTAAACAAAAGCTTTGTTTCCATTTTTCCTCTCTTCTCTTGCTTTCCAGTTCCTTCCCTTTCTCTTCCCCTCTCTCTTGTTCCCCTTCCCATTTGAACATTTTCTTCCTACTTCCCAATATCTATCATCCATTTTGGTCCTTATTTACCCTTTCTATTTCTCACACAAAAGAAATAATGTGATACTTAAATATGTGTATCTGATTTATTTCACTTAAAATTATGGTCTCAAGTTGCATTTATTTACCTAAAAATGTCTCAGGTTTATTCTTCTTTATGACAGAGTAGTATTCCACTGTATATAAAACCACATTTTCTTTATCCATTTATCCATCCATGGGCATTTGAGCTATTTCCAAGACTTAGGTATTAAAAATTGTGTGTGCATGTATCACTGTGGTATGATGCTTTTAATTCTTTCTGGAAGATACCAAGAAGGGGAATACTTGGGTCAGTGGAACATCTAATTTTAGTTTTTTGAGGAATCTCCATAATGATTTCCATGGTGGTTGCACCAATCTACACTCCTACCAACAGTGGGGAATAATTCCTTTTCCCCTACAGCCTTGCTAACATTGGTTGATTTCTTGATTATAGCCATTCCTTCTGGTGTGAGATGGAATCTCAGTGCTGTTTTTATTTGTATTTCTCAAATGACCAGTAATGTTGAAAATTTTTTAATGTTTATTTACTGTTTATACTTCTTCAACTAAGAAGTGTCTATTCACTTCAGATGCCCATTTTTGGTTAGGTCTTTAAATTTTGGGGGAGTCTGATTTTTTCAGTTCTTTATATATTCTAGATATTAGTCCTCTGTCTGAGGAATGGCTGGTAAAAAATATTTCTTGTTCTGTGAGTTGTTTCTTCATTCTGTTGGTGTTTTTTTGCTGTACAAAAGCTTTTTAATATGATGAGATCTCAGTTTTTAATTCTTTGTAACATTTCCAGTGGGTTTGGGTTTTGTTCATATACCTATGTCTTCACGAGTTTTATTTATTTTATCTTCCAACATATTTTTAGATTTTTGTTCCACTTCAATTTTAGTTTAGTGCATGGTGAGAAATATGGTCTAATCTTTGGCATGTGGAAAGCCAGTTTTCCCAGAACAATTTATTAAAGAGGCTATCTTTCTTCCAGTGAAGTATTTAGCCCCTTTGTCAAAGATGGGGTAGCTGATTTGTGCATGTAGAACCAACCCTGATTCCCTGAGGTGAATCTTACTTAGTCATGATGTATAATCTTCTTGATTTGTTGCATTCTGTTTTCCAGTATCTCATTGAGGATTTTTGTATCTATATTCATTAAGGAGATTGGCCCGTAGCTCTCTTTTTTCATTGAAATCTTCTCTGGCGTTGTTATCAGGGTAATACTTGCTTCCAGAAATGAGTTTGGGAGCATTGCTTCCCTTTCAATTTCATTAAAAAGTTTGAGAAGTAGTGATATCAGACCTTCTCTAAATTTCTTGTAGAATTCATCTGTGAATCTATTAGGACCCAGGCTTTTCATGGTAGTTTTTAATTACATCTTCAATTTCATTGACTGATATTGGGTTACTTAAAATTTTCTTTTCGATTCAACCTTGGTATCTCACATGTATCTAAAAATATGTCCATTTCTTTTGCACTTTCCATCTTATCAGAATACAGATTTTCAAAGTAGGTGTTGGTGATCTTCTGGATTTCTGCAGGATTTGTTGTGATTCCACTCTTCTTATCCCTAATTGTATGGATTTGAGACTTTTCTGTCCTTTTTTGATAAGATTGGTTAAGGACTTGTCAATTTTATTTAATCTTTCAAAGAACCAACTCTTCAATTCATTGATTCTTTGTATTTTTTTTTTAGTTGCCTTAATTTCTGCTCTAATCTTTATAATTTCCTCCCTCATAAGTGCTTTGGGTTTGACTTTCTGTTCTTTTTCTAGAAGTTTGAGGTTCAACATTAGGTTTTGATGATCATTATTTGCCATTTCTGCATTCTTAGGTGATTAAGGTAACCTTACCATTGTTGAAAATGCTGTTGGGTTACTTCTCACCACCAAGTAATTATGTAGTAATATAATTCCTACTACAATTTAAAGGAGAAATCTTGGTAAATTGTTTGTGTTTCTCATGTTACTGTTTAGCAAATGCTCATTCACACTCTCTGGAACCCAAGGTAACTGGGTAAGGGTTGTGACCCTACGTCTATTAGCTGCTTGATGTTCCAACAGCCATCTAATTCTCAACCTTTCCTCCCACAGAGAACACAGAAGAATCACTGGCAGTGCCCCAAGGTAGGAGGTATTTTCATGATGAATTCCCACCAAATAAGTTGTTCTTATTTGGTACAACTTTTCCTTTTGCTTTATAACCAAATTCTTATTATAATTGCTGAGCCACATTTGGTGGGAGAAGATGGTACATATTTAGGACAAATTTTGCATCAGTTTCCTGGTGGCTGGAAACCTGGTGAGTCAGCTGGTAAACCCAATGGGAATGCATCCAAGACAAACCTGTGTATGAGCCAAGGCCGAGCGTTGGGGTGAGGAAAAGACAATGCATTTGGCAACAAAAGATCTGAGTTTAGTTTCATTTCTCCCTCTTACTTAGTGTGACTATGGGCAAGTAACTTCACCCCTTATAAAGAGGGGAATAAAAAATACTCCATACTGCTTCATCTACGTTAGATGACATCATAGACAAGGAATGATGACAAAAGTTGACTTCTATTGAGGTTTACAATGTTCCTGGTACTACTTTAAGTACACAGTTTTTAGGTGTTTAATTCTCTAATTTAAGGTCAGAACAAATATTTTGTTCTAAAAATTTATTTTTAATAGTTATATAGTTCAAAAAAAAATCAAACAATACTAAAAGGCCTGAATATTACCAAGAAACAAACAAACCTACCCCATCTCTCAACCTTATTCCTGCATATAGAGGCAGCTTCTTTCATATCTTTTATCACCTTATTTGGATGTTTACATCCGTATTTCCAAACCACATGCATATATTGTTACTGACTTTTCAGTTTTAGATCTTGTCTGATTAGTTCTTAGTTTGATGAGGATCTAGTCCTTATTTTTCTGCCTTCCAATACATACTATATATGTAATTATATCACAAGTTCTAATTAAGTTAATATACAATGTTTACATTATTATGACCTTATACATTGGTCACAGCACTCATGTAGCATATTGTATTTCCTTTCTTGTAGACTATATTTCTTCTCTTCCTTCTACTTAATATTTGCCCTAGTTTTTTCATTTCACATGTAGAAACTACACAAAGAAAACTCTTTTTATGAAAAGCTACATAGTATACATTTTAGGCCTCATAGGCCAGAGAGTGCAGTGACATTCACCAAACTCTGCTGGGATAGCAAGAGAGCAGCCATAGACTATGGAAAGTACTGTACGTAAAGGCTTTTATCACTAGAATGTCTTCAAAATAACCAGCTCAGCAAATATTTCTGAGATTCATGTCCACAGAGCTGCATTCCATCGGGAATTTACTATATCTTACAATGTATATTTTAGTCCTGTCACATTGAAGATTTGTTGAAAATCAATATGAAGATCAAGTAAAATTACCAAATTTCATTGAATAATAAGCATTTCAATTTATTTGTACCAATAGGTGATAAAAATTCAGCAGCCATATTATCAGGTAAGAGAACATTTTTGTGCTGTTTTCCCTGGAATGTCTTTTTACCATCCAGATTTAGGAGAGAAGTAGATGAAAGAATGCTGTAAAGGTATTTCACTGAGTGACTCATCACAACCTGTCCTCTGTAGATGAATTTGTGTGGAAATGATTTTCAGGGTGTCACTCCTGTAGATTCATTGACTTCCTTTAAAAAAAGAGATAACAATATCTTTGTTTTGAAAAACTACTGGAAACCATTCTGAATGTACATTTAATTACTATCTTTAACCTTCAGCTTGACCAGTTGCTCTGAAAGTGTACAAACTCTCAGTTTTTATAAATAAAGTGTTTCAATTTTCTTTGGAAGAAGGATCATTTGATCACATATAATGTCTACTTATTGTTGTATGGGTTCCCCTTTGTTGCTATAACACATTGCTGTTACTTGATAGCTAAACAACACAACTTTATTGCCTTGTAGTTCTGGAGGTCAGACGTCTAAAAGTGTTTTACTCAGCTAAAGCACCATGTCAGCCAGGCATGGTCATTCTAGAAGTTCTGGGCGAGGAAGGTCCATTTCCTTGTTTTTTTTTTTTTCTAATTTTTAGAAGAAACATGTATTCCTCGGCTCTTGGCTCTAATTTGCTATTTCCAAGCCAGCAGCTTAGCATCTTTAATCTCTTCTACCTCCTATTTCTACTCGTAAGCTCCTTATGATTGCATCTGAACCAGGATAATTGATATATTTTAAAGCAGCTAATTAGCAGCCTATTTCCACCTGTAACCTTAATTTCCTCTTTGCCATGTAATTTAACATATTCACAAGTTTGGTAGATGAGAGAGGGGGTAATATTCTGCCTACTATATTTGTACTTGAAATAAATTTCTGTGGTTGGTTTTATTCAGTGGCTCAGAAATGAACCTGTCGCTCAGGACACACACCGAAACAGAGTGATCTAAGCTACAAGTGGAGAGGAGAAAGGTGCGCTGGAAGAGAGGGAGCAGGCACTCAAGTCAATACAAATAGATAGCAGTGTCTCTCCATCCACTGTAGTTTTTTCTGTCAAGATTCATTACAGGTAATGTGAGGAATTCCCCTGCTAAGATATGGCATGGAATCAATCTAATGAGTAAGAGAGAACATGAACCACCTACATGCAGCACAACACTTATGAATAATTCAACACGTACAAATAGTGCAACACCTCTCAACAGAAATGCCAGCAATGAAACAGGTTAAGCAGTAAAACAAGCAGAACAAGTGAAAGAAACACCAAGGGATCCTGAGGATCCAAACCATCAGACCAATTCTCAGAGAGAATATTTAGGCCCAAAGATAGAATTCTCGGGGCTGGGGATTTAGCTCAGCGGCAAAAGCGCCTGCCTGGCAAGCGCAAGGTCATGAGTTCGGCTCCCGGTACCGGAGAAAAAACAAAAAAAAAAAAAAAAAAAAAAAGATAGAATTCTCACCACAAAACACCAAATACTGGCACTTGGACTTTGAGTCTGACAGAGAGGAAAGGGAACTACTGAGCCCAAGAGGATTGAGGATCAATGGCTAAGAGATGGGTTAGCATTACTGTTGCCTATGCAGTGATTGCTTCAGAGCTGATGCAAAACTACATCTTGTAAAGGTTACAGGGGGTCCCTAGATGGCTGCACCTCCCTCAAATCACCGTGAACTGTTGCTGCTTATTAACAGATGCTTCTTTATTCCAGTTCTACCTGTTGCCATCTCAACTCAACTCCCTCTTACAACTGATGAAAGTTCAACATCATCAGGTAGGACACTTTACCTACACCATGACAGGGTTGAGTAGAACTCCTAAACTACACATAGTGGTAGCCAGGGGTTCTGCTACACAATCTCTAGTACTGGTAATGTTTCATTTGAAATCAAATGACTTAAGAAAAAACAGACCAAGATGATCTAGATATCATGGTGTGCAGCTTCACTTTATATTTGATTATCTGTAGTTTACTATCAAAAAACACTGTAACTTAAGGCTTCTCTGAAAAAAAAAAAACAGGGCAAATATTAAGTAGAAGGAAAAGAAGAAACATAGAATACAAGAAAGGAAATACAATATACTACATGACCACTGTGACCAATGTATACATGGTCATAATAATGTAAACACTGCATATGTAAAGAGTGAGAGGAAAAAAGGTAAGCATAGAAGTGAATGTGTGTTAGAGAAAGAAAAACTATTAAAGGTCATGTTATATCTTTTGAATTTAAAGAAATAAAGTAGAGCATCTACCTACTGTCTGGGAAGTGTACAGCTCAGGAAATTTTAATTATTTTTCCAAATGAGTCACATGGAGAAGCATGCCTCCTCCTACTCATGTTGAACTGACTAATAATGTCACCATTAAGGTCTATTTTCATTTTTATATTGGTACATTTTAGATATATATAATGACAGCATTTATCATAGGGAATTTGTACATGATATATCTTGAACCTTCTTTTTTTCCCATTCCCCTACCCTCCAATCCCTTTTTACCCTCCTTATTTACAAAAGCTTTGTTTCCATTTTTTCTTTCTGTTCTCTTTTTTCTTAACCCTCCCTTGCTTTCCCTCTCCCTCATCCCTTGTTCCCCTTCTTATTTGAACATTTTCTTCCCATTTCCCAATATCTATTATACATTTTGGTCCATTTGCATTTTGTCATTGTGCTTGTTGATGCTGTCTCTACTCCGTCATGTGTAACTGCTTACACTTCAGTTTTACCATCATGTAACCTATAGTCTGACAAAGCCAATGATAATCTCTAATAAGCCCTGGTATCTGCATTATTCTTGTGGCTACTGAGTACTTGAAACACAACTAGTGGGAATTGAGATATTTTGTCTGTGTCAAATATACTCTGGATATTTCAAAGACTTAGAGAAGTGGGGAGCTGCTACACAATGGGCAGGAAGTTTCAGTTACAAACAATAAATAAATTCTAGAGATCTGCTGTACACATGGTGCCCATAGTTAATAGTATAGCATTATGCAGCTATTTAGCATAGCATTAAAAATTTGTTAAGGTGATACAATTCAAAGGTTCTTACCATGCACACAAAAGGGATACAAGGACTCTTCCTGGAGGTAGTGGATATGTTTATCCTCTTGATTATGGTAATATTATCACAGATATATGTCTATGTCCAAAATCATCAAATTGCATATGTTAAACAGATACAATTTTTTAGTATATCAATCACATATTTCAACAAAGTTACTTTTAAAAAGATGTAGAACTATATAAAAAGAATGTAAAATTATTCATTGAAATTTTATATTGATTACATATTGAAATTATAATATTTGAGAGACATTGAATTAAATAACATGTATTAGTAAAATGTTGTATGTCTGTTAATGTTTCCCTCCTTTTGTCTTTAAAATAAAAATAAATAAATAAATAAATAACATGTATTATTAAAATTAATTTCAACTCTTTCTTTTCCCTTTTTAAGATTTGCCTACCAAAAAATTTACAATTACATATGCAATGGATCCAACTTAATTTCTATTAAACAGCATTGCCTAATGCATTTTAATCACTATGTTGAATGCTTCAGGAGAGTTTTCTTATCTGATCTTCCCAACAGCTGGATGTGGGATCATCTATAATCTCTGTTTTCCTAATGTGGACACTCATGCTCAAATAGGTTAATCCTGTCTTGGATTTCATGGAAGGATAACACATATAATCTGACTTTGGAGACCTAAAGCTTAATCTCTACACTATTCTAAACTGTCATCTAAACCACATTAAAAATCCTATTAAATATTGACTGGCTATGTTGCCTATTCAGAAATCAAGAGGACCCCTTAGAGATGAGGGAAGTTAAGAGAAGAAGGAGTTTGTCTTTCTAATCCTCATACTTACTGACCTAAACTCATATCTCCATAGCCTAATTGGCAGCAGCTCTTCATCAACGTCACCTCTAACTTTGTTCCTGTCTCAGTCCACTTTTAAAAATTCTTAGCCCTCTTTTCCAGGTGTGCTGACACACATCTGTAATCCAAGCACTTGTGAGGCTGAGGCAGAAGGATGGCCCCAAATTCAAGGCCAGTGTGGGCCAAATAGTGCGACCCTGTTTCAAAATAATCCCTTAAAGTCTAAGAAACTTAGCTCTCGTGGCTACATAAGGGTGTTCTCGAAGCCTCAGTAGAATTTCCAGTTAGCTGCAGTGCAGTGCTCAGAGAAGACACATAGATGCTGAGTTTGAACCTACCCTGTACCACCGCCTGCCTATGTAACCTCACCCTGTCTCTTTATCGAGATGGAGCAATCACTTATTTCAAGGAGTTATGGTGATGATTAAGTCAGTGAATCCCTATCAAGCACTTAATGAACAGCCTGGTGTGCAGTCAGTGCCCAGTGAGTGTGACCCTCCACACATCATATTGCCCTGCAGATACCACTGCTTGGGGAGAAGGGACTTCTGTCCTGAGGCTGCCGGCCTGGGGAATAGGCCATGGTGCTTCAGCTGCTTCCACCGGCCATGACCACCTTGTCATTACTCCTCCCCAAGCCTCTGGCCATCACCAGTTTGCTTTCTGTCTCAGTGTATTTAGCTACTCTGGATATTTTGTATAAATGAAACCATACAATATGGGATGTTTTCATGCCTAGAATAATGCTTTCAAAGCTGTCTATTCCTTTTAAAATTCTTTGTTTGAAAGCCACTGTGTAAAAGTAATTGAGTTCTTGTCCAAGAAATGTGAAGCAGGTGAAGAGGGTCCTTCTCTTTCTATTCAATATTAAATCTCAGAAGTCATTTTCCTTGCATTGTTTTTCTAAAAGCTCCATCAGCTTCAGCTGTCCTGGATGTTAACCACCCAACCGTGTCACCAGGTAAGTCAGTAAACTATGAGCTAAAACAACAAAAACTAAGTGTGATATATTGTGTATGCCACATCTGGCCCTGTAAGCCCATAGAAAGAATGATTCATGTTCAGGAATGGGACAAGTTCAATACCAAGGGATGTAGGGAGAACATGAGATGTCACCTACAGCATCAGACTATAACTGAATGAGGAAGGCTTTCACCTGTCTTGCTTATGACTACAATCCTAGCACCCATCACAGTGCTTGCCACATTATAGGCACTGAATACATGTTGGTTGAATGAATAAAAGAATGTGTATGTAGTACATGTGTGGACTGGGCATTCAGCTTCTTATTGAGTCAGCTTTGGTCTTGACTATGAATAATCCTGCTAGGCAGTAAGTCATGGAGGTGGATTTCTCCACTCAAGAGACACAGGCATCACTCTGAAAGATGCCAATCATCCCTATGTACAATCATCCTCTTCACAGGGAAGTGTTAGCATTTCAGATGTGCACAAATGAACAAAGCCAGATGCTTCTAATACATATTTTTTATGTTTCAGTCACAGTAGATAATGAAAAGTTGCCAACTGTCTTGTCAGGTAAGAGCAGTGACTCCATCATTAGTCCTGTAGATAGACACCTTACCATGCACATGGGACATACAGGCAGATGGAGCACCAGCTTATATAATGTCCTTTGGGGTCATCAAAGAAGTCTTTATGACTATCATGATTTCCACAACTTTTGCCAAATTTTTTAGTCACTCGTGTTGCTACTGCTGAATACACTCATGCAAAACCTGGAGTTGATGCAAGATTAAAGAGAGGGAGGCACGAGGATAACACTTAGGAGCCTTCTGCTGGGCACCTAAACTTGACTCCAACCTCCTCTGAAACCTGGCAGTTCGTTATGAACATGTGGCTAGTCCAGATGTTTGGGTAAAGGTATGGACTAGCTGGTGGACCTTTGCCAGCTGTCAGTTGAGTCCTTTTCTGATGTGTGCTGTGTCCATCCCAGGCAATGGACCTTGATTCCTAATTCCATTTCAATGTTGTTTCAGTTCTTCCTGTGGCTGACTTTGTAGCAGCCAATCGCAGAGCCAGTGAGCCTCGGCTCAGCCCACCAGGTGAGCAGGCTTCCTCAGGTACCACTGTTGCTCTCATCAACTGCAAAAGAGGAATCACCATGCCAGGAAAGAAGCCCAGGGAGTGGCAGAGGTGGGGGCTGCTGAGGTACAATGGAAAGCTCCATAGTGAGAGGAAATGGATCCTGGCCTAAAGAACTGGGCTGGTCAGTTGGTCCTTCCAGATTGCTTTAGCTTCTGGTCAGCTTTACTTTCTTGCTATTCCAAGGAAGACACTATAAAGTTCAGAAAATACAAAGAATAAGAGATCTAAATATCACATCCCCCTACCTGGACATGACAATGTTTACATTTTGTTATACCGGTTTCCTGTTCTGATCAAGAAATGAAATAGCTACACATGAAACTCCCAACACTGGGGATGTGGCTCAGTGGTAAAGCACTTGCCTACCATGTGGGCAGCTCTGGGTTCAACCACCTTTACTGTAGATAGATAGATAGATAGACAGATAGATAGATAGATAGGTAAGAAGCCTCAGTAATGCCCCCAAGCCAGTCTCTCCTCCCTCCTTCCCCCTTTTATATTATCTTCATAGTTCATTTTCACATTTTTACAATCTGGGTTATATGATTTTTGTGTGTTCTTTTTTCATGCAGATTATGCTAGTCTCTATATGTTATGCAATACAGTTTCTTTGTTCAATATCACTTTTTTTTTTTTCCAGTACCGGGAATTGAACTCATGACTTTGTGCTTGCCAGGCAGGCACTGTGCCCCTGAGCTAAATTCCCAGCCCCCAATATCACATTTTTAATCAATCCATTTTGATATACATGTGTATATTTATGTGTGTGTTTCACTGTTGTTAACTGTTGTAAGTTATTCTATTTTTGGAATATACTTCTAAATTTAATCAATTTCCCCATGGATAGAAAAGCACTTTCCTAAATATTTGTGTCTTTCTTGCTGTTGTCAAGGACCAAAGCATGAAAAATAACATATTCTTTTTTTGTTTTTCCTCCGGTACCGGGAACCGAACTCACGACCTTGCGCTTGCCAGGCAGGCACTTTGCCGCTGAGCTAAATTCCCAGCCCCGAAAAATAACATATTCTAACACCTTGTCTGCTTTGTTTTGTGACGAGCAAAAAGCCTGTCACGTGGTAGCATAATTATCATGTACTTTCTTTCCTACAGCACTCTTATAAATCAGGTAACTTAAAGACTCATCTTACTTTTTAAGCCAAGTATAATGACTTGGATCAAAATGTCTCCCCAAAGACCTATGTGATCAAATGGGAGTTTGCAAAATTGGATCACAAGGGCACTGACCTCATGGATAGATTAATTTTTTGCTGAATGGAACTGAGGAAGTGGGGTACTGGGGACATAATCTGGGAGAGTGTATCTTGTTCCTGGTTCTTCTCTGTCTCTGCATCCTGGTGGCCATGAGATAAGCAGCTTTCCTCTATGATGGCCTTCTACCATGATGTTTCTGCCTTGCCACAGGACAAAAAACAATAGAGTCAACTAACCATGGACTGAAACCTCTGACACCGTAAACCAAAATAACCCTTTCCTCCTTTAAGTTGTTTTTCTCAGGTGTTTTGTCACAGCAATGAAAATCTAATTAACACTCCAGGCAAATAAGGTAAGTTTGACACTTACTCTTGTTTTTGTCTCCACAGAGGGCTGGCCCAGGCTGAGGCTGGTGAATGGCACAGGAAGGTGCTCTGGACGGGTGGAGGTTTCCTACCAGGGGACCTGGGGGTCAGTGTGTGATGAAGGCTGGGGCCTGCCAGAGGCACAGGTCGTGTGCAGGCAGCTTGGGTGTGGCCTTGCTCTGTCTGCCCCTCTTGGTGCCCACTTTGGCCCAGGCTTTGGAAAGATCCTTTTAGACAATGTACACTGCAGTGGCACAGAGAGCAGCCTGTCCCTGTGCACCCATGACAGCTGGTTCACTCACAACTGTAGCCACGAAGAGGATGCCGGAGTCATCTGCTCTGGTGAGGGTCCTTTTGCATTCTAAATGAGTCATGTGCAGAATGGCTTAGCTACTCCTGCTGGGAGGGCTGGCATCTTGTCTTTCTACGCTAACAAGTTCTCTAGTAAGGCAAGCCCTGCCCTTCCAAGGAAGACTGATTTCTACATCCCATTCTACTTTGACTTCTGCCTAGCTTCTGTTTAACATATGTAATGGAAATAGGATACAAATAAAACCATCAAATCAAGCTTTAAGTAATTCACAGGGGCTGGTTTGAATGGTCCATTGTTGTCTGAAGCTTATAAGGTGTTCCCAGCTGATACCAACCCTCCATAACAGATCAACTCAGAATGCAGCTCAGGAGGCTGAGTCACTTTGTCCTATAGGGAACCCCATAATCCTGGTCTGAATGGCCCCCTTCTGGGCAGCTGACCTAGGTTAGGTCCTGGTATCCTTGGGAGTGAGTCTTTGGGGAGATTCCAGGCTGAAGTGTGACACTGGCTGCAAAGAAGTTAGGAATTAGCTCATAGCACCCAATACCCCAAGTGCAGAATCTTTCCAAACGAGAGTCTAGCACCAAGTAGCTGCAGGCATAACACGACTGGTTTGTGGCCACTGCAGACTACAATTAACAGCCCTTGATCTCAGATATACTCTGCTAAAACTATGTTCCTGAGTCCTCACAAAGTATGAGAGAAAAATGCAAAACTGAAAACTTTATACATATATGATTTCAGAGTACTTCTGCCCCTCAGAAATACCATGGGGCCATTCAGTTTATCTCTTTTTTATCCTAAAGTAGTGTTGTTCAAACTTAATTGTGCATTAGAATCCCCTCGCAACTTATTAAAACACAGGTTTCTGGACCCTACACTTGGAGTTTTTTATTTAGTAGCTCTAGGGTGGAGTATGAGAATTCACACTTCTGACAAGGTTAGGATGATAAAGCACTGCTGGTCTGGGGATCACACTTTGAGAATTACTGTCTTAAAACATAATTTAACTGACTGTTTCTTATCCTAATAAATAGAAGCAGAATTGTCATCATCATCATCATCTTCATTACCATCTTCATCACCACCACCAGCACCTTCATCATCTTCATCTTCATCTTCATCATTGACACCATTCTCATCATCATCTTCACTGTTGTTTTCACTGTCATCATCATCTTCATCATCATCACTGACACCAGCATCACCATCACTGTCATCATCCATCTCCTCTTCATCAGCACCATCACTACCTGCACCATCACCATCAAAAACTAGTCTCCCTGGTAAGTCAAATTTTGTATCTGTGAGTTTCTTATCATTTATTTTCAGTTTATATATTTTTATGGTTGAGTATTTACAGAATTTAACATTCAAACAAGAATATTTAAGCAAATCATTAAGTCTTAAAACCTCTGGATATCTAGTATTGTGCAAATAGGTCTCTGTGGATGAATTTATTTCCCAGTTACAGAAAGAAGCCCAGGGTTGTAGTTACGACCTCCTCTTCATCTGACAGCCTTGTCCCGATCTAAGCCTTCATCATCCCTTCCTTCCTAGATTGCCACAGGCTTTCTGTCTGGCTTCTGTGCCTGTATGCTCTCAATATCCAGAGTTACCTTTTATTAAAATTTGGGATTATTGAGGCATAATTTACTGACAGTAGAAACTACCATGTACTTTAAAGAATTGTAATCATTACAATTGTGTAACCACCATCATCATCAAGATACAGAACATTGCCATTACCTTATAGAGGTTCCTTGCCCCTTTGTACTTAAACTTCTCTCCTGACCCCCCTAATCCTGACAACCACTGATATGTGTTCTATCTCTATAGGTTTGCCTTCCCAGAACATCATCTAAGGCAGTCAAGCAATACAGAGCATTTTATTAGGATTCTTTACTTACCATAATGTTTATAAGAATCATCCCGGTAATTCCATGCATCATATATTCATTCTTTTATTTTTGAGTAATATTTCACTGCATGGATATACCAAAACTTGTTTATCTTTTCACTAATTGGTGGAGATTAATGTGTTTCTATTTTTTGTTTTGTTTTGTTTTGCTTTTTGAGACATGGTCTCAGTATGTAGTTCAGGGTGGCCTTGCACTCACTATGTAGCCCAAGCTGGTCTCAAACTCATGGTAATCCTTCTGCCTCAGCCTCCTATGTGTTGGAATTACAGGAACACCCAGCCATGCCCAGCTACTATGTCTACATTTTACTATTATGCATAAATCTACTATAAATATTCATGCAAAAGTTGCAAGCTATTTTTAAAAATGGTTGTAACATTTTGCATTCCCACCAGCAACATGTGAGAGTTACAATTGTTCACATCTTGCCAACACTTTAGGTTCTCTATTTTTAAAATTTGGCCATTATGGTAGCTCTACTATAATGAAATAGTGCTGACTTTTTTAGTTTTTTTTTTTTTATTCATACACATTAGCTATATAGAATAATGGTTTTCATTTTGGCACATTAGTACATGCATATAACATACTTGTGGTTTTAAGTTACTTTTCTCTAAAGACAAAGTTGGGCATTATTTGCTTATTTGCATGCATTTAGTGGAATATCTATTCAAATCTTTTATTTTTAAAAAACTGAGGTGTCTGTCTTATTGATATATTGTAAGACAGTTTTTTGTATATTATAGATACAAGTATTTTATCAGATACATGTTTTCAAATATTTTTTTCTCAGTCTGTGGATTGCCTTTTCATTTTATAAACAGCATTCTTAAAACGGCAAATTTTAAATATTTAAGGAAGTCCAGTTTACTGACATTTTTATCTAAGAAATATATGCTTAACTAAAAGTCTCTTAGATTATTATTACCTGCTTTCTTCTATATGTTTCATTATGCATATGGTTTGTTTTAATTGATTTTTGTGTTTGGTTTAATAGATAATTCAGTGGTGTTTTTTTCATAAACATCTAATCATTCCAACCCCATTTATAATGAGGATTATGCTATCTCTATTGAAATACTTGAAACTTCTGCTAAAAAATTAAATAACCACATATACATAGATATACTTCTAAATTCTTCCTTTTGTTCCATTGACTTGTGTGACCTTCCTCAGGCCCATGTCAGTCTCGATTACTATAACTTCAAATTAGTGATGAAGTCATATGGTGTGACTCTTCCAATTTTGTTCATTTTTTCTTTTTTAAATTAATTTTATTTGGACATTTTAGATATGCATAATGACCATAAATGTTCATCATAAGGAATTTGTACCTGTAAAGGATATAACTTGATTCTTCTTTTTCTCCAATCCCTTCCTCTCCTTTCAACTCTTTCTTCCCCTCCATATTTACAAAAACTTTATTTCCAATTCTCCTTCTATTGTCTTTTTTTCTTTTCCTTTGGGTTCTTTCCCCCTCCTCCCTCCCTTGTTCCCTTTCCCATTTGAATGTTTTCTTCCTTTTTCCCAATAGCTATTACATATTTTAGTAATGATTTACCCTTTCAGTTTCTCACACCAGAGTAACCTATATTTTTTCTCTTGATTCAAATTTTATTGTTCTAACTCTACTGAAATATGACCGAGAAATAAAAAATTGCATCTATTTAAGGTATACAACATATTGTTTTGATAAAAACAACCTTGTTTAATGAGTTTCACCAAAGAATCAAATTAGTGTATAAATTTCCACAAAAATATCTGATGAGATTTTTAATTTGAATTGTATTGAGTCTATTTATATAATTGATAAAAATGGATATTATAGCATTATTAAGTTTTTTAACCAATCAATACTGTATATCTCTTCATTTAAGGTTTATCTCATCAAGATCCTGCAGTTTTCTGCATGCAGACTTTCCATATATTTATTAGACTTATGCGTAAGAATTTTATGGGTTTTTATGCTATTATGAAAGGCACTTAAATTTTAAAAATTCAATATCTCCTTCTTGTTGCTGGTAAAACTTAAGTTTATGCAGGGCATGGAGGCTCACACGCGTAATCTTAGCACTTGGGAGCGTGAGGCTAGAGAATTGCCGAGAGTTCGAGGCCAGCCTGGTTACATAGTGAGTTCAAGGCCAGCTTGAACTACATAGGGAGATTGTCACAAAACATAAAAATGAAGTTTATATGTAATAAATGATAGAATAAGAATTAGATCTCAGCTTAAAACAATCATGTCTTTGGTCTGGAAACTCACTAAGCCCTTTAGTAGTGGTTTCTTATATTACAGTTTCATAAAGAGATGCTAGAAGTTGGTTTAGGATGCCAGATAGCTTTCCCTTTACTTGGCTTTCATTTATCTCCTTGGAGTGCTATTTATTAAGTAATTGGTGTTTTCTTTTTACCATAGCTGTTGAAATAATAATAGAACCCATCCCTTCTGTGGAAGAACAAACACCAGCAGGTACAGAAAAGTGCATCTTTTTTCAGTGTACATCAAAACTTTATGTCCTATATATTCATTGAGGTTTAAAGAACATATCATTTTCCTAGAAATATGAACAAAATCAGAAATTTAATAATGAATGTTGCTAGACACCCCCAGTCCCTGCTAGGATTCTTGAGATAGTGAAATAAAAATGTTTCTGAAAGTATGATTCCAGTAATGCTAGCTCAACAGGATACTAAAATCAGTTGTGCATGTACACATACGCACTCACACACAGGCGGATTCTGTGGTCCTGTGAGTTTAGAGAAATGTGTCAAACACAGTAGACAGGTCTCGGTACAACAGATATCTAAGAGCCTTTATGAACACCTAACCCTTCAAAATACCCAGTAGAAATCTCAGGGTGCCAGGCTTATGCGATTGAGCCAAATTCCCTTTTCTCCATGTGCATCTCTCCAGAAATCTTCTGCATAATGGTGCAGGGAGGTGGGCTTGCAGGCTTTCTGAGATGTAAAATGTACAGAGCATATTATGAGTAAGGAAAGTGCTGAAATCCAGATATTTATCGTAGTGACAAAGGTATTACAGTCAAATTAAAATACACATTATCTCATCTCGCTGAGTGTCTGAAGTCAGAGTTGCTATCCTGCAATTCCAAAGCTGCCTTAAAGGAGCTCTTTTTATTTCTACTTGTTAAAGTCCTGCCACAGCTTCGGCAACCATTCTCCAGGCAGTTTTTCCCTTGGAAGAAGGCGTATTCTTACAGTTGTATCCTTCTTGCTGACATCTCTCAAAAGCCACTTCATATCACAATGACTTAATATTTGTTGTAGCTTCTGCCTCAATTATAAGCATCATTTCCTTCTTTACAGTCAATAAGTACTCTTGAATGAATTATGGCACACAGCATTACTAATTTATAGCAATTTCTCTCATTCCCTCAGTTTTCCTTAGATGATGCCTCTGAGCTTGTATTCTGTTTTTACAAGATTATTTCTACTGAGCAAAGGATACAGGATAAGTTGACCATGAACACAATGAATGAATAAAAAGTTAAATAATCTTATTTAATGGTAATAATGGTGGCCAATTCAGATAAATCAAAAGAAAATAGAAGATCTCAGAAGGGTATTGTTTGGATGGGTCCTTTGTGCAGTGTGTTCACTTCATTTTTGTCACCCTACTGACTGACTGTGACCTGTTTGCTATTCATTGTAACTGATATTTCCACAGAGCCATCACGGACCCCCGCTGCTGAGGCCTTGACTGTTCCATCTGCAGGTATGGGAAGTAGGTCCTGAGATATGAAGGGCTGATGGACAGCAATAGGAGAGATATTCTCCAAGGTCGGGGAACTGAAAGTAGAAAACAATCCATTTGCCTGCTGTGAGACTTAGGGAAATTTTCTTGACCCTGTCAAGTCTCAGTTTCTTTATCTGTGAAATGGAATCCCAGCCCATTTCAGAAGATTGAGGAAGAAATATGTAAGTTAGCAGCTCTCAGGGTCCCTGGCATTTAACTCCTAAACACAAAATGTTCCCATCCTCTGCCTCCTTCACGCAGTAAAACCACAAGAAAAGATTTTCCAGAGTTCAAAGGGACCAAGTTGCTCTAAGACTCTTCTGGATAATGAGATGTCTATGTAGCTATGACTGGCCTAGACAGTCTAGCTCACTGTTTCATTGGAAATGTTGATAAGGGAATCGTGTATGGATGGAATGTTCTCATCAGGAGAACCTTAGGAGTTCTGAAGAGTTCTTATAAAGCTTTCATCATTTCAAGTGGAGGATTTAGCAAAGTCCATTTTCACCTGAAATTGCAAATTACTCTGCTTATTTTTAATATGTGGGTCCCTGAGAACTGTGTGATCTTGCATGTTTGTAAAATGAGAATACACCCAACTAAGAATTTTAAAAACTAAAGGAAACCTTCCAGAGACAGGAGGATTAGTCCCTAATATCCCTCCTCTCGTGTCCCCACCAGGATCCTGGATGGCAGTGAGGCTGCTGAATGGCACAGGGAGGTGCTCAGGCCGCGTGGAAGTCCTTGTCCAAGGAACATGGCAGACAGTGTGTGACGACCTGTGGGACCTGGCTGAGGCCACAGTTGTGTGCCGCCAGTTGCAGTGTGGCCAGGCGGTGGCAGCCCCCACAGGGGCCCACTTCGGAGCAGGCTCCGGGAAGATCCTGCTGGATGACGTACAGTGTGCAGGCAGTGAGAGCCACCTGGGCCAGTGCGTGCATGGGAACCAGGCCAGGCGCAAGTGTGGGCACCTGGAGGATGCCGGAGTCATCTGTGCAGGTGAGGGGCTACCACCTTCCAGGATGTTAGAGTTTTATGGCCCTTCAGGTAACTTTGGTCTGCATTCACAACAGTCATTAAACACGTATAATAAGCCCATAGACCTACTGAGTTGATGTCTTTCAACCCACAGGTGACCCACCAACCCCTATACACTCTGCAGAGTCTAAAGCTGTGTCCTTGGGGTACATACTCATAGGTGCATCACCTGTGCTGGCTGTGTTTGCTTATAGCTCTGTTCACTCTGCAGAAGACACTTCTTCAATCTGGGGCAGACACCCTGAAGGAGAGTAGGGTGGCCCAATTCCTTGTTATGAGCAAGGGCCATTGATAAGAGTAAAGTAGATAGGAGAATTTCCAAAATGTACATTTAGTCCAGCATCTGAAATCCATCATTATGGAGTATGCCTTTTACTATCATATCCCCAAGGCAGACAGTGGGGTACAGGAGAAGTTAAATGACAGCTTAGAAAAGCAGGTTTTGCCCTGGTTATTTGGGTGCTTAACAGATACCAAAAAGGTGAGCACTCTCAAATGGGTGCTCCTAGAGCCCAGAGGTAGGAAAGGTACAGCGCTCCTGGGGAAGGCACAGCAGGGGCACGGATCCTCCACATCTGGCCAGTGCTGAGACTCCATCCAGCAGCCATAGAACAGGCAAAACACTGAAAGTTAAGACCAGATCTATTGCACAACGTGTCACCCACTAAAAATGAAACCATAAATCAATTCTCCACACTGAATAGTGTGACAGATAATTGCAATGTGACGTTTGAAGATCTAATTTGGTCAAATTGATCCAATAATGAGATAGCAGCGAGATTGTTTAGATTGATGCTTTATGAAGCAAAATAAGAACCAAGAGCAGCTCAGAGGTGCTACGTACAGTTTGCACAGTTTAGGTAACACCTAATCTGGGTAAATTTGCCAAACTCCTAGGGAAAGCCAGAGAAATTCAGTCCCTTATGTGAATGTCATGTCCACATGGCTCTACGTTGATGGTTGTTTGCCAGAAGGAAACAAACAGAAGTGGCAGCAGGGAGGTGGGCTTGCAGGCTTTCTGAGACGTGAAATGTACAGAGCATAGAGAATATTCTAAAACCACACTTTAGATCCTGAAAACCTCAAAAACAGGGCAGGGAAGTCTTGTCTGCACACTGCAAGGGGGAAACCTGAGGGAGACCTGATAGAATGTTCAAATCCAGGCATTCAGAGTGCTGTCATTGCAAATACCTTTCCCAAGTGGGGTAAGGAAGTTCCTGGCTGTGAGTGATGTCCCTGTTTGTTCCTGTTTACAGGTGATGGCCCCTCAGCTCCCACACCCACAGCAGGCACCCCCCGTTTTCATGCCACACTCACCCCAGCAGGTAATGCTTTCCTGAGACTGGGTTGGATCTGTGCAAAGTGCTCCCTGAGCACCTACTATGTGCTGTGCATAGATTTAAATGCCTATATAATGTTGTTATTTTGCAATAGCCTCAAAGGCAATGGTTATTTTCAACACGTCATCACAAATGAATTAACAGAGGTTCAGAGATGGCAGATGGGAAGATGGAACTGGTTAGGTGTCTAGAATCATATAACCAGTGTGGGGCAAAGGCTGGGTTCACCCAGACCTGTATGACTACAGATCCTTAATTTTCTCAGATGCTTCCTAGTGACATGGATCAGAGAAGGAAATTAATTAAAGAATTAATTGCTCACATCAAGACTCTTTGAAGAAATTAGAAATATTGAAATTAAATTATTATTAGGCTACCTAGAACAGCAGATTTATTGTAATAGAAGACATGAAAGATAAAATGTTAACTATTCATTTGGAGTTTTCATCTTTCCTTTCACTGCTTTGTTTGAGCAAAATTTATCTCAACTGACCGAGGTTCATTAGCATATAAGATCGTCCTGTAACCATTTTTGGAATATTTACCCAAATATTATATAGTACATTTTAAAAAATTATTGCTAGCCAGATCTTGTATGGAACATCGTTGGTCTGTCATTGTACCCCTGAGAGAAACGGCAGTGGGTATGAGAAAAATAAAGACAAGAGACAAGAGCTGGGGTCAGGTGGAGTTACCTCTTGCCTGATGAGCATGAGGACTGACTTCAATAGTAGGGGCGTTTATTTTATACATTTGCAAAGTTAGTATCATGGGGGGGGTAATGTTACCTAGCAACTAACGACTGTAACTGTCTAGCAAGATGTCTTTTTCATTTTTTTTTTAAATAAAAGGAGGAAAATATTAACAGATAGTCGACATTTTACAAAATAGCAAAGGAACAGTACAGACAGTACAGAGTTACAAACAGAGTGGTAGGGAATTAACAATGCTTGCTGTATTACATATTGATATCTTCAAAGTGGTTTCTCATGAAAACAGATATAGACATACAAAGCTGATCAACCAAGGACTCATTGACAGTTTCTTTCAGCAAAGAAATACAAGACAGTAGAACAGCCATGTTAACTATCCTGCATATACATACATACAAACTTTCTCCTTCTTTGCCTTCTCTTTTCCCATATCCCAGTTATCCTTTACATTTGAGTGCTTTCCTATCAATTTACAATGTCTATCATATCTCCTAGTTTAAATTAACTCTTTCAGGCTTTACACTAGAGAAACAATGCGATGTTTGCACATGTATGTTTGATTTATTTCACTTATGATTATGGTCTCTAGTTGCGACCATTTACCTATAAAAGCCTCAAGTTTATCTTTCTTTACAGCTGAGTAATATTCCATTATATAAAAGCAAGATGCCTTTTTCAATACTTAGGTAGCTTGACTGCTTGACCGCTTGACCAATAACCAGCTCCAGTGGCTCCCAACAAGATCTGATGAGACTTCCATCTTGCAGTTGAAGAAAATGGGATTCAGCTGTAATAAAAGGTGGCATGAGGCCTAAGCTTTGGATTAGGGAAATCCTATCTTCACACTGGGAGTTCCGTTGTCATTCTAGAATGACATCCCTAAGTCCCACACCCGAACCATGCATTGTCTGTGCAGGTGAGGGCTTTCACCTCCTAGGATGTCACTGCTTTTGTGTGTTTCAAACACATTCAACCAGCTTTCTCGGAAGTCATTGGATCTGGTGAAACTGCATATGGTATCTTCAAAGGGGAAAATTAATGAATGTGTAATTTCCACAGCATTTCTCCATCTGCATGCTCCATTTGATCAGTGTGCACTTGCTCTTCTTGGTTAGAAGTCCCTTGATTTGGAGGCTTTTACACATTTCTCTCCTACTGCCCCAAGAAAACCCACACACCTTCCTTCCCATAGTTTTATTTGAATAAACTTCATTTGAACAAAGAAGTACAAAAAAGACATTCCACTTCACTCAGCTCCCCCAGTTATGTTTGTTACTATAAAAATCTTCCTAAACTGAATTCGAGAGGCAGCATTTACCAAGAGCAGCACAAAAAGTCCTAGTCATGTCTTTTGAAAATAAGGTATATTTAGTTATTAATGGTGGTAGCAAGATGAATAATTGTATGTTCAACAACGGGCATCTCCGTAAGAGAGTTAGGACCCCCTACCACTCTAAAGTTTGAAGGAAATCTCCTGCACCAGAGCCCAGTCCTCAAGTCTCTCTTCTTTGTCTCCCCGACCCCAGGACTCCTGATGGAGGTGAGGCTGCCGAATGGCAGAGGGAGGTGCTCAGGCCGTGTGGAAGTCTTTGTCCAGGGAACTTGGGGAACAGTGTGTGATGACCTCTGGGACCTGGCTGAGGCCACAGTTGTGTGCCGCCAGTTGCAGTGTGGCCAGGCAGTTGCAGCCCCTACAGGGGCCCACTTTGGAGCAGGCTCTGGGGAGGTCCTGCTGGATGATGTACAGTGTGTGGGCAGTGAGAGCCACCTGGGGCAGTGCGTGCACAGGGGCCAGGCCAGGCACAACTGTGGGCAACTGGAGGATGCTGGTGTGGTCTGCACAGGTAAGGGCTGTGAGTTCCCACAGGCTTCAGAATTGTCAGTCAGCCAACCTTAACAGAACCATTGGACAGCAAATTACAACCAGCCTTACAAACCTTGACCTCTTGATCAGGTGCAGATGGTTCTCCAGCCCCCTACCCCACCACAGAGCCTGAAGCTACACTGTCTTCTCACACCCTGCCAGGCATGTCCATCCTGTGAGGGGTTCGCTTTGGGTAAACTCCTCCCCATACCCACCTTTTAAAAAACTTTTCCTTCTAAAACTTATTTTGTTAAGTAATTACAGAGCATTTCTCACACTAGCAGAGCAAAACTCCATTCCACATCACAGTCAAAGTGTTATGTTCATGAAAAGGATAAGCAGAATGAGATGTTTAGGCAATGGGATAATTACTGCAGCAATGAATTTCATTAAAATGTCTCAATTTTTCCTCAGTAGTTATTTTAGGAAAGATCAAATATCTCCAAATAATTCATGTACTCTAAAGGAATTATAACCACGAATAAACACTTTTGAAGATTGCAACTTCATAAAAATTTAGAATTGACATGGGGTGTAAATGACTCATCACAGAAAGGCTTTGATTCAAATCAAAAAAAAAGACAAATGCAAGCACCTGGGGGAGTGGCAGAGGTCCAGGAAATATTCGTGATTTTTGTCACCTATAATATTGGCTAGGAGAATGTGGCCAATTCCCTCAAGTTTGGGGAACAAGGGGGAATGAAAAATGACAGAATGGATATGTCCAGACAGTCAGATTTATCCTTCCTTATCTCTAGGGATTGACTTTCCAACTGCTTCACCAACAGGTCTGACACCAGCCCTTTGAAATGGTTAAGGCCATTCCAAATGCCAGCATATGGCTAAGTGAAAGATAAAAGTCACGTAACTTGTGCTTTTATCTATCTCATTCTTAAAATCTTATGGCTCAGCCTTTGCTAGATAGTCTAACCATCAAAATGACTCCATAAGTACACATGACCAGTAGATTTTTATGAGACAAAATGATGGGAAAAGTCATGTCCAAAGTCACCTACAGATATATTTCTCAACACAATGTGTCATCCAACTTCTAGGTGAATACTGAGCAGCTCAAACATTTTCTTAATATCGTATATTTGTAAAATAGACATTATGCTTATTTTCTGAAAAGGACCAACAGTCATGGAGACCAATAAATTTCACAACTAATTTTCTGTGCATTTAAAGAGCTGGATCCTAATGATATTTGATTCCTCCATCCCTCTGCAGAAATTCAATAACCAAGATGAGGGGAAGAAAAGGAGGTAGGGAATAGAAATTCCTTTCCTGCCCAAATTTTTATTTCTGGTGATACTGCATACGGTATCTTCAAAGGGGAAAAATAATTAATGCTATTCTCTGTCTCCAACTGAGATTTGGGCAATTAAGAAAATAAGAAAAAGGAACGTGAGATAGAGACCAAAATGGCAGGCCACATCCAGTGAAGAACGAAGCTCTCTAGAAGGAGGCCTGTCTTGGAGGAACAGAGCAGATCTTTGCTCTGAGGACAGGCTGACTTCCAAAAAGGAAAAAGGGCAGAATTGGGCAGTGGCTTTCATGAGCTAAAGTAAAGAAGGAATGGGAAAGAGCTAGCACTGCATGGAAGGAAATATCAGGTGGGGAAAAGTGTTACCCCCTGACAGTATTTAATTTAGTATAAATATTCTCCTTCTCTAATTTTTTTTACACTGATAGGACTTGCATCATCAACCACACTTCCTTTCTCTGAATCTGCTGCTCTGCAGTTGACACTCAGGCCAGAAGGTGAGTCTTTACAGTAAGTTTCTTAGTGCTTGTTCTTGGAGCAGAGAAACATGAGGGACAACAATGACAACCCTGCCCCACACAGCCACACATACCAGTCCCCACTAGGGACTTTCACATCACTGTGTCCTCGCTGGCTCATCTCATCAAGAAAATACCGTTAGGAAAGTTACACTCTCTCCCCTCTATATTTGAATACATTGAGTCAGGGAGGCCTACCATACCCAATCTGCTTTGGCCTGGAACTAATACACAGAGAAGACTCCGTTAGCCAGATATATTAAGAAAATGACCTTAAGACAATGAACTTTTCATGTGTTGCTACATTGCGAGTGCTAAATACCACATAACTTGAAATATATCTGATTATTTTAAAAAACATTTTTCCTTATATTTTCTACTTTTTTCTTCTGCATGCATCATGTTGCACTTAATACAAAATGCATTCCTATAAGGATGTCTATTCTTTTTTAACTGTCTCATTAGCACATAGCTTTTTATGAATATAATATCCATAAATATTTGTGCAGGACTTTTAATACAGAGGATGTCTGTTATGAAAAAAGAAAAGAAACAACATTATAAGATCAACAGGACAGGTTTACTTCAGAACAAATCTGAGAAGGACCGCTCTGGCACTAGACCCCAGACCCACAGCTCTGTACAGGCTATGGGGTCTTTTGTAGGATCATGGGGAGGAGTGAGTTCAGTGAGGAGGGTTGTGGCTACCTGCTAAGAACAAGGCTTGGGAGAGCACAAGTGGTAACGGGTGCCTGAGGATGAGGGTTGGGAATGGGCAGGGAGTAGAGGCTACTATCAATAGCAGGGTTGACAGTGTTATGAGGCCCCAGGTGCAGCTGGGTTGAGAGGTGGGTGGTGTAGAGGGGTCTCTGATCAGGATGCTGGAACTCAGGTTCTTTCAGTATTCACACCTCTTATTTCTTCTAATCTACCCACCCCCAGGCCTGTCTGTTAGATAGGGAAAATGTTCTCCTCATCTGACACTAAAGATGCTATGATTGGCATCCATAAAGGGTATAGTGAGGCTATACAGGCCTCATAGGATAGACAGGCCTCTCTTTAAGCCTCTGTGAAACTGGATTTCTAATTTACCTGACAGTAAACACGATTGAGGATCTATTTTAACAATAAGATACCTTTTTTGTTTAATTCATTTTGTACTATTAGAGGTAGTACTTTACCAGTGTTGGAAGTGTTTCCTTTGGCACCAGCTATTGACATTTCTACCATTCCTATTCATATAATGATAATAAGTCTAAAATAAACATTCATAAGAAGTCTTTATATGTTACATATTTTTCATGTTCAAATACACTAGACGTAAGAATTGAAAGACAAGTATAATAACTAACTTTATCAGTTAGTTAGGAACCATATCAGAAATCTTTATTCTCTAAGAGGGTTATTAAGTACTATTAATCCCTCTGCTAGTGAGCACAGGGATTCTCTAAGAGGAGATTTATGTTATGCCCAGTTTCCCTGCTCACTTAACTACTAAGCTTCTATTCACTGAAATGGACAGATTTAGGGACTGCAAAAATGAATTTGAGAAATGCTCAATTCCAAATGCTTAGAGCAATATACATGAATAATTGTGAAAGGCCTAATCAAGTTGTTTAAATGGTCTTATCTCCTTGAGTATGTTAAATTTCTTTGTGAGTTTGGGCTCCAACTCTCATCCTAATTATTCTATAGAACAATACATCTTAGGGGCTGGGGATTTAGCTCAGCGGCAAAGCGCCTGCCTGGCAAGCGCAAGGTCATGAGTTCAGTTCCTGGTACTGGAGAAAAACAAAAAAAAAAAACAAAAAAAACAACAACAACAACAAAAAAAATACATCTTAAAGATAAGAATTTTCCTCTTTGCCTGGAATACCTCCATATCTACCATGTTTCCAGTGCATCTTCCTGTTAAATTCCACATTTGTTCTGATTCCTGTTATAAAAGCTCTACCATCAGCCAGGTGTTTCTCAGCCTGTATCATTTCCACTGCTTTCCTGGCATTGTACTCATTCTGTCTTTAGTGATAAAGCTATCTGGATATTTCTACTAGCACCAAACAAATTCTTTTGCAAAGATGCTTATGATTCCAGTAACAGACAACCCATTCAGTATGGTGCTTCTTGATTGACTAAATTTCCTAACAGCAATGACGTAAAACATTAATTAATATTGAGTAGCTTACTAGACAGTGGGCTTGATAACTTTAACTTTGTGTTAAAGTCTTAATTTGATAAGCAATTTTACTTATACTGAGCTAGTTGGTGCTACAGGGCTCTGACTCTGATAGGGGCTTAAACAGACCCAGCTGCCACAGCAGTTCTGCATCTTCACTGGCCAGTAGAACACGAGCATGGCAAGTCAGGCAAAGCATCATTATTATTCATAGACAGGTGCGAAGGGAAACGGATACCTACAGCCCAAGAGGAACTGGTCCTCCAAGGCTCAAGAGCTGGGGATTTAGCTCAGCGGTAAAAGCACCTGCCTGGCAAGCACAAGGTCGTGAGCTCGGTTCCCAGTACCGGAGAAAAACAAAAAAACAAAAAAAAAACAAAAAAGAAAGAAAAACCAAGGCTCAAGAAAGTCACCAAGGCAATGGAATCTCCTCAGCATATGCTCCACTTCACACAGCAGCAGAAGGACCTGGGAACACACTCTGTTCTTGGTTTAACCCCTGGAGCAACTAGACTTGCAATGCAGCACATCCTGCTCTAGGAGGGGCAAGGCAAAGCCCAGGATGTCCTGGGAAATGCCTCCTTATCTCCAGATGGTGCATTTCCAGCATTTTCTGCAGTTGTTCTGAGAACTGCAGGTGGGGAGTGGTGCAGAACTGTGCTGGCTGAGGCTACCCAAGGACCTGGTCTCCTGCGCTTGGCTCTGATGAAATCATGACAGTTCTGTGGTATCTGTTACCTTTATAGTAAGAAATAGTCACACACAAAATCAAGGTGATAGAGAAGGTGGCGGTTTAGACGAAAGATAATCTTCTAAATGAGACCACTACTCACCTCTGGTTTGGATTCTTAAAGAAATTCTCATTTCATTTTACTTCTAGTTTGATGTTACATAATTACTGACAATAACTTTTCACATTCTCCATGTAGTTGGGGTTGCCTCAGAGACTTCCCTGGCCAAAATCCCTGCATCTGCTGCACTTTCATCAACAGGTATGAAAAGACTTGGCAAGTGAGGTCAGAGATGCATCCACACTAGAGGAAAACCATAGTCAGAGTCACTTCAGGAGGTACCCGTGCATAAGAGAAAGGACATGAAGTTCTTCACTTTCTAGGTGTGTAATCTTGAGCAATTTAGGAGACTTACCTGAGTCTAACTCCTCTGAAGTGAATACAATACTGCTTCTAGGATGGGGAATGAATAGCTTTCAAAAAGAGAGATATACAAAAAGTGAACAGTAAGGCTTCTAGGCACACGTTTATGTTCAATTGTCTCCTATATCACAAATTCACAAATTACAGTTGTGAGAGCCAATGTGTTAGAAAGCATTATGGCTAATATGAGAATAGGCGTTCTGGATATCAGGACATCACTTAAATATTATTTGTAAACACAAAGTCAAGACCTAGATGTGTTGCTATAAATCTAGTGTATTTCATATTATTTTGTCCTTCTGTGCAGTGAAATTACTTTATGGGTAACGTGTCCTTGTTTGGAGTACACTGGGGTCCTCCATAAACTTTTAATATATATATAGGAAACATGGAGACCAACTATGGAGGAGAGATGGGAAGAGAATTTGGGGATGGGAGGACACAAGAGGGAGGGAGAGGAAGGGGAGGTAAAAAGGGTCAAGATGTGCTACACATATGTACTAGTTCCCTTCAATAAATTAGCTATCATGTACCCTAAACATACGCTAATTTCAAAAAGGAAAAGAAAAATTGGAGGCAGAAGCAGTTTTTTCTCACTGGAGTTTTTAAGCAAAAATTTGTCATTTAAATTGAAGAGGACCGTAGTTTGTTCTCCTAGTTGTGTGTGTAACACAGGTTCTCGTGGTAACAGACTCAGCTTCAGAGAGGACAGAAGAAATATCTCTGACACCAAGACCAGTCTCTCTTGTCCCTCTCCTTTGTGTCCCCCAGGAGCCTGGGTGCAGGTGAAGCTACTGAATGGCACAGGGAGGTGCTCAGGCCGCGTGGAAGTCCTCATTGAGGGCACGTGGGGGAAGGTGTGCGATGACTTCTGGGACCTGGCTGAGGCCACTGTCGTGTGCCGCCAGCTGCAGTGTGGCCGGGCAGTGGCAGCCCCCACAAGGGCCCACTTCGGGGCAGGATCTGGGATGATCCTGCTGGATGACGTAGAGTGTGTGGGCAATGAGAGCCACCTGGGGCAGTGCGTGCACGGGAGCCGGGCTGGACATAACTGCGGGCACCTGGAGGATGCCAGTGTGGTCTGCACAGGTAAGAGGTTGTTTATCTCCCAGGACCGCACTATTGCTACATCAGCTGTGGCTAATAGAAATAATCGAATAAACATTTAAATAACCTCACGCATCTTGGCGTATTGAACTCTCTCAACCATCAGGTGTGGATGGCTCTCCAGCCCTCAACCCCACCACCGAGCCTGAAGCCACACCACTGTCACAAGTGCTCTCAGGTCAGTCCAATCATCGGGTAGCCTGCTTTTGGTGAGCTCTCTCTTCTAAAATTCATTTTGTCACACCCTAGTAGAGCTCTTCCCAGAACAGAAGAGTAAAAATCCATTCTATGTCACAGTCAAAGGGATATGTTCTTCTTAACGTGTCTGTAGATAAAAATAAACAGAGTATGAGATGTTTATGCAGTGGAATAATGAATGTATTAAGGTCTCTCCACCCACAGGTCCCTCCCCCATGAGGTGTTAGAAAATATCAGTTGTCTCCAAATAACCCACGAGCACTAACCTAATTCATGAAACTCTGGCATTGTCTCCCCTGGTGTAAGGCTATTACTTTTTTTTTTTTTTCAGAAATATTCAATTTGTGTTTTTAGAAGTCACTGAAGATCATAATGTAAAAAAAACTGTAGAATTTAAATGTTGGTTTCTTTTGCCCACCAGGTATGGGCCATTCACCAAACCCCACTACAACAGAGCCTGAAGCTGCCACCCCGTCATACCTGGGTTAGTCCAATCTTTACCTGGTTCTTCTGCTTGGTAGCTTTTCCTCCCTAGAATGTTCCTTTCATAAGCTAGGGAAACAAAGCCTTTGCACTCTGTAACTTCAGGGTATCATCCTTCTAGAATGTATTGGGCACTGCCTCCTCTTGCAGGTGATCCTGTCACATGCTAGCAAGAGTCCCTGCAATCATACAGCTGATGATCTTACATGGTCTCACCCCTCCATGGTGGAAGAGTTAACTCCATTCCATACCACTCCACATCACACAGTGGGCACAGAGCATGAGGGCCAAAGAGGTTCTCGCTCATCATCTACACTTCTTAAGTAATTCCTCAGCTTGCCTGAAGAACACCTGAACATTGGGAATGTTTAGCTGTCTCCAAAGGAGCTTGGCTATGAGCTTGGAATCTTGGCCAATTAGCAAAAAAATATCAATTAGGATTGAATTAATATCTCCCAAGTGATACTTGAGGTGACCAAAATGACTCATGGATTTACAAACTGGTAAACATTTGTAGAATCATCCTTCTACTTTTGATTACCTGAAAAATGCAGAAACAGTCAAACAAGTGATTGAAAGAGAACTCAGGGAACATTTAACAATGAACAGTTCCTCTCTCTACACATAACAGATAGGAGAGCAGGAAACCCAATATTTGATAACATGGACGAGAAAACCAAATGATGGTCAGTGAGACTGCCCCTGGCAGGGGCCATGTGTTCACAGAACCACCCTCTTCATCCTGACTACAGCACCAACAGCTCTTTCACTGTTGAATGTAAAAAAAACAAAAAAACAACTGTACATTTCCAACATTAAGACTGATTCTACATTGAACCATGTAGGCCAGATGAAAGAAAAACTGATAGTTTAATCACTTTTGGATAGTCTAGCCATAAATTACTGAAACTGACTGCAGTAATGAAGTGGCCATGCATACATATATCAAAGGATATCATGAGAAGTAACAAACTCGTTGACAAATATTGAGAAGAACAGAATTCATGCCAGGGAGCCACATCTAACTTTTACCAAGTCTCAACATTTTTCCCTAATTATTTGAAATGCATCTTAAAAGGAAACCTTACAATACCTGATTACTGTCCTAGGGGTTAGTAAGATGAAAACAGGGCTGGCTGCCTGGTGAAAGCCTGATGCTACTAAGAACCCAGACATAGCCACCAAAGACCTAGATGGAAAGCAAAATGCCCTGCCATTCCATTCACAGCCATGTCCCTATATGAACACATCTGGATTGCTACTAAAGCAGAAAGAAGAAGCAACCTACACATGATTTTCTGGGCACTTATAGAGCTGCAGTGTCCCAACCACAGATGTATCCTCAATGTTCCAATACTTTTCATCCCACTGTGGAATGGGATATCCACAGCTGGATGAACATGGCAGAAAAGATGAAGAAGCCAACCCAACATTTTTAGGGCAGCCTGGGCAGAAGTAGATGCTTCTACCTGGCCAGCCATTCTCTCTAGGCTGTTGTCTCCATGGGTGGTGAGGAGGTGTCCAGCAGTAAACAAGGCCTCTCTTTATTTTGCACTCACAGGGCAGGCATTATTGATACCTGTGTCCACCACAGAGCCTGCTGCACTTCCTCTGAATGCTACTTCAGCAGGTCAGTTGGCATTTGTTCTGGGGTGGAGGGTAAAGAAAGGAAACCATGTCCCCTGCACTGAGCTGGCATATCCCAGACCTGTAGCCATAGCAAGGAGTACCAGCTAGATCCCTACTTACCTCCTGAAGAGCTGAGTGAGAATTGCATGTTTGACTGTAAACTTCTGGCCGTGTATACGTGTTTTGAAACCTTCTTCTTTCCCAAGCTGGGTTTATGGATGTCTTACTTAATAGGGATGCTTGCGGTTGTTCTTGGGACAGGTGATGGATTATCTGCCACCATAGCAGTAACAGATCCTGTGACCTTGCAACCCACACCTGCTCCCCTGGCAGGTAAGTCCTTGGGAAAATGGGAAAAAGAACCATTATTAATGGAACCAAAATGTGATCAGCAGAGAACCAGATGCTTTCAAATAACTAACACTTCATTTTACGATCACAGAAACCTACAAGTAAGTGCACCCATGCCTCACTCTCACTTTTTAACATATGGATCACAGAAAAATTAACTTTCCTAGAATTAATTGGCTAGAAATGGTAAAGTCAAGGCTTAAGCACATACTTCTCAAACTTTAGGCTTCTCCTTGACCAAATGCTGTTTGGGGAGACTGTATTAGATTGAGATAAACTTGTAGCAGACCTAATTTCTAAGACCCAAGTCCATCAAGATCTTAGTTGGGAGATTGTAAACTTGACATGTTTTGGATTATCTGTGTGTTGTCTTGTTTTTTCTGAAAATTTCTAGGACCTTTCTTAGTTCCTTGTGTTCTGAGCTTCATGATGGTTTACCTTGTTCGTAGTCTTTCATACATTATCCTGCTTGCAGTTTGAGCTTTTAGTCTAGAGGCGTATATCCTTCTGTTCTTACAAGTTTTTCTTGAGTTATTTAATAATTTTCTCCTTACCAGTTCTGTTTGTTTTCTTAAAAATCCTGTAAGCAGAGATTGGATTTCCCATGTTGATATGGTAAATTTTGTGATATATCTTTAATTTTGCATCTTTGGAATCTTTTTCTCTGTACTCAAGTTTTTGTTAACAGTACCTTCCAGGTATCTTATTAATTCTGTTAAAGTTTTGATCATTTTATTTTCAATTTCAAAAGCACATTCTTGTTGTCTGGGCTTTCCTTTCTCAGAGCTTCTGGTTCTTGTTTCACAGATACGGTGCCTTCTCTAACTTTCTTGGTATCTGTTTTACTGCTATCTACTCAAAACTTTCTTGATCCTTTTGCTGTTCCTGTTTCTCCTCTGTGCTTTTCTTTCTATTCTAGTCACATTTCTTAAGATACAGGCATTTATCAAAGATCTGAGCATTTCTAGCTATGTGTCTGCATTTAAGAATGAGGCACGAAAGAGCTGATGGGAGTGGAGTGATATGTTTGGCTGTTAGTTTTCCAACAGCGGGGTGGGAAATTATATGTAACACATCTGATGCTCAGTCTGGTCTCAGCTTGCCTGAGTCTGCAAGAATGAATCTTTGGAAATTAATTTCTCCAGAGAATAAATTTCCCATCTTTTTTTTTGATAGGAAAAAATTTTTAGGATTTTTTGATAGGAAAAAAAATTTTTTGATAGGAAAAAAATTAGGATTTTTTTGATAGGAAAAAATCAAAAGTTCTTCTGTCTGTTCTCAACCAACATCTCCTTTCATAGTGTGATAGTGACTGGCTGGAATTGTAAGCTAGGTAAGTTAGGACTTAGTATTCCTATTTTTGAAATGTGAGTTCACTCAAAAATGCTATTAAAGCCAGATTGGTTACACTCTTATTGTGAAATGATGAGTCTATAAAGCTGATTAGGGAATGTGCTTTGGGTGTCATGGTTTTATGTAATTTAACCATTTTGCAAATCATATTTCATTCTGCAAATATTGGTATCTGATTTATTTCTCAATGGCAAAATCCAGTCTCATGTTCTTAAACAGTGTAAAAACTGGTTAAAATTTAAGTTTCTGTTAGAATGTTCACATTCAAGTTCAGGCTATGTAGAGGTATTTGATCTTGAACTCCTGGAGTCAAATTTTCTTCATTAGCAAAAAAAATAAAAAACTTGCTGTGAAGGTCATTCAAGATCAAATCCTGTAAAGCATATGATGATGCCTATAGTGTAGTTATACTTGTGAAGCAGTATGATAATTATAACATCATCATCATCTCTATTTTGTGGTATGTAGTAAGTATGAGTATATGGAAACCATAGCCTAAGAGCCCAATATAACAGGATCAAGGCAATTTTCTGACCCCAGAGGCTAGTTCCCACTGCATTTCCTCATACCCTGGGAGCATGGATAGGGCTGAGGCTGCTGAATGGCGCAGGGAGGTGCCCAGGTCACGTCGAGGTCTTCATTCAGGGCGAGTGAGGGACAATATATGATGACTTCTAGGACTTGGCTGAAGCCACTGTTGTGTACCACCAGTTGTACTATGGCCAGGTGGAGACAGCCCCTACAGGGTCCCACTCTAGGACAGGCTCTGGGAAGATCCTATTGGACATTGTAGTGTGTGGGCAGTGAGAGCCCCCCAGAGAGTGTGTACAGGGTAGATATTCTCTCATACCTTATCTTAGTTACTTTCCTCATTGTTGGGACAAAATACCCAATACCAACAACTTAAAGGAAGAGAGGTTTATTTTGGCTCACATTTCAGGAATTTCAGTCCTTTCACTGTTGGGGACGTGGTGGAAGAACTTGACGTGGAGAAAAGCTGCTGATGTCATAGTGGCCAAGAAGCACAGAGTGAAGGGGGTGGGAGAGGGAGAGATGCCCTTCTGGGTCAGGCCTCTGTAACCTGCCTCTTCCAAAAAGACCCCCACCTTCTAAAGGCAGGTCAGTTGTAACACCCCCATAACCAATCACCTTCCAAACACATGGGGTTTTGAGGGCCATTCTAGATCTAAGCTATAACATCCCTGAAAGGTGACAGTCTTCAATCACTTCTCCAATAGGGGAATACCTAGTAGTCTATGTATACTTTCTTAACCAGATGACGCACTCCCAGATATCATGTATAGATCTCCACTGAGAGCCAAGAACTGCCTCCTTGTCTTCTTTATGGTTCATCTTTCCAGGTGTTCACTGCCCTCCCTGACAAAAGCAGTGTGCTCTGCAGCTGCATCCACAGAGTTCTCCACCTGCAGGGCCTGGCCTTATGCAGCTTCCTTACTAACCAAGGCAGCATCTGAGCTCACAGAGTTGGGCAGTCATGGGGATTTCTCTGTATACTAGGAAAGAGAATAAAACTCACCCTGTGTATGTTCATCTCCGTCTATGTTAAAGCCCGTTATATTTTCATGCCCTTTATTGCATATGTGGGTCAAAAGGCAGGGAAGAATGATCTGTGTCACTTAGTCACTTTTTTACAACTTACCTATTGCATTCCTTTAGAAAGCATATTGTTTATGTCCACTTACTTGTGGGGTTCTATGCTAGGCACTGGAATTATGGAGGTGAACCAGGTTACCCTACCTATGCCCTGATGACATAGCCAGAACATTTAAACAATGATCACAATAAATACATAACTACAAAATGGGATGAATGTACATAAGTTTGAGGAAGATGGAAAAATAGAAAGAACAGAGCAGAATACAATCACTATTTGCAGAAACTAGGACACATAAAAGGAAAGGAATAAGCTAAAGACACCATCTAAATTTTTCTTGTAAAATCCAGTGCATACGGCCACAAATGAGGCTCTGAGCTTTCTGGGTGCCAGATAAAGAGAAAAACAATCAGTGACAAGAAGGAGCATGCTTCTGTAAGAAGGAGGACAATTCCTGTCACAGAGATGGCAGCTCCTGTGGTCCAGAAGCTGAAGGGCAAACTCTGTGGGTTCCATGTGTCCCACCCTGAGCTGCCCTGGTACTGGTCCATCGCTCAGATCTCCAGGAAATGCCAAGACTCTCAAGGGCAAGATCTTGCTTTCTTTTCCTTTCTGCTGCCCCAGATGTAAGAAGCTCTCACTAGACACTGACTGAGTAAGACACAATAACATGCATGATCTCTCTTCACATTGATAGGTGCAGATTCCACAGCTGCTCTGCCTACAGGTAAGACTGTGTTGCCTTCAGTGTCATATACAAGATAAGGT